TGAGAGAGGTCAGTAGGAGTGAGTGGGAGTTGCCAGTTAACCTATTATATGAAAAGCTGAGTAAGTACTTGAGCTTATTCTGGCCATTTATCCCACGCAGAGCTGAAGCTGCTGGCTGTTCCTAATTTCCAGCTGGTTGTTTATTAACCTACAAAGCCAAAAGGGTAACAGTAGCTTTTTTTCTCTCAGTCCAGAATGATCTGCATCTTTTGCTTCAGTCTCTGATAGATAAGAAATAAAGCTTTTGAATTATCTGAGACGAAGGCATAACATTTTGTTGTCTTTCAGGGGAAAAAAAAAATTGTAGTCCCCATCATTTTACTCTAGATACGTGTTTATGTGGGATATTGCCTGCAGTTGGAGATTTCTGAGGGATAAAAGACATCTGAGAAACTGTATCCCTTTCAGTTAAATCCCAGTGTTAAATTGTGATGCATGTTGTATCAGAAAATAGTTAAATTTATTTTTGGGAAACATTTTGAGAAAAAGATTTTAGGAACAAAGAGCAAAACAAAGTTTTAGAGTACTTTTTACTCCTAAGTTTCTATATCAGCTTTGAAGTTCCCTTTTTTTCACAGGGAAATTTTTTGTTGTGAAATTTTTTGTTAATAGACTTACAAAAGTAGAAAAAAAATGAATTTGACAGGCCTGCTACCAAATACAGATTGAGAAAAATTTTTGGTACTTTTAGGCCAGCACTTGTGTACTTTATTTAACAGTTAGGCATGCTTTGAATAAGCAGTTCTCTATTTCTCTGTTTCAAAACAGAAATACAAGTCCAAAATCACATTCAGCATCTTTTTTTTCCCCATATAGTGTTGTCCCATGTTGTTTTGTCATCCCATGATGTACAGATTTGTAGATAATGCTGGGGAGAGCATAAGGGCTGAAGAGGGGAAGAACTCAACCACAGGACATAACTCCTGGGTGAAAAAATTGATTTCACAGAAGGCTGGGTAATTTTCTTGCTTGCATACAGTACCCTTTCTGGTGTTTAGTTATTCTCAGTGCTGATCTCAGCCTTGTGACTGGAATAAACCTTCTTCCAAAAAAAGACTCCTAGGATCTTGAAAAATGTTAGAAACCCTTAAACTGAACTCACGAAATTGTCATCTCTGTTAGCAGTCTGCAGGAAGTGAGGTGTTTGTTGTTTGGTTTTTTTGCTTCCATTTCCACACTCACTGAACTTCAGTTTAAACAAACAAAACAAACCTGAAGACACACACACAAAAAAGAGAAACCTATCAAAACCCCCACAACTTCACTGTAAAACTGAGAGGGGCTTCAGCTGCTGTGATAGACTTGATATGGAAGCATCTCTGTTACGTTTGGTATAGTCTCACCAGCTTCCTGAAGTGGAACTGAGACTTCCAGGATTCTCTGTGAGTCTAACTGGAAGGCTTGAAGAATAAGAATAAATAAAGGTTATGAATGAAAACTAACAAACAATGTAGATGAATGTCTTGTGTGTATTTTTCTTCCTCTCCATGAGAGAATTTTTTTCTTCTGAGTCTCAGCTGAAAAAAGCTCAGCTGGATTCAAGTCCAAAGACAGGGTAATGTAATTACCCAGTTGATGAGGCTCTGGATTTTAGCTGTGTGTTGAGCACTTGAAGATGTTAAAAATGCAGTGGGGTTAAAGCCCCCTAGAATTGTTTATAGTGTTCTTGCCTTTAGGAATGCAGTAGCTGAACTTGTCCGTATTTGGTCAGAGGACTGTGTGTTCCGTGGGGAGCCTTGAACATGCACTTTTCAGTCAAAGGAATTGATACTAGAGAGAGATACAAGAAATTTGTAATCACAAGCTTGGTCTGAGAAGGTAAGCAACAATGGCAACAAAATAGCTTATATGTGTGCTCTGTCAGATATATCACTTTGGGGTCTGGTGGCAGAACTGTCTGAACTGGTGCTGCTTTTGTAGAGGAGAGTCAAGCCTTACAAAAGCATGTGAGATCTTTTGAAGGCATCTGCATGTGTATGACTGCTATGTATCTTGTTAGCACAGTAAAATACTTTCTCCTGAATTGGGAAACAGCAGGTGGAGTTCTCTCATTTTTTGATTGTCTCTACAGAAACAGTGACTTGGTAAACAGAATTGGTAAAAATACGGAGAGATTGGTATGGGAAGGAAAAAATTGAACAGTATTTTTCCTTCTCTGGCATTGTGGACTTACGACTTCTATACAGTATGAAGAGAAGTTACTTCATACTTTATTCTGGTATGCATATGTGATCATGCAGTTGAGGAGAAAGATGAGTGAAATAGAAGTGAAGTGTGATTTACAGATAACTTTGAGTCACATAATATTTTTTTACCAGTCTACAAGGTAATAAAACAACTTTTAGGAAGTATTAATTTTAAAGAAAATTGGTTTGTAAATGTGAGCTAGCTGTTGAAACTCAGGAAGACAGAAAGTTCTCTGTGTCTGGACTGTGTCAAATGGATTTTAAATAGTAGTCTATCTCTCCTCTTTCTCTTTTTGAAGTAAAAAATTGTTATTCCTTGGATAAAGGATTTTCCCTTACTGCTCAGGATGCATTACTGGATGATGTTTAGGTGCTAGAAGTATCTGTCATGTAACGCATGCTGTTTCATAATTTTAAAAGAGATACTTTCAGGCAGACTGAAGGTGACAGCATCTACTTACTTAGCAAAGGCAACTTCATCTCCTTTTAATCTTTTCCTTTTTGGTGTACAGCAGTGAACTAGAAATACTTGAAATCCAAACATTTTTCTGTATTTTTGTGTTCATGGCCTATATGTGTCAATTTGTAATGTTTCTGTAGTTTATTCCTTAGGAAAAAACATCAGTAAATAGAGAAGGGGAATGCAAAATAGCTTTTTCCCTGTGTTAACATAGGTGTTTGTGTATTTATGTAACTGAATAATAACACAGAACTTTTATAACGATACTTTTCTATTTACTTTTCCAGAGTAGGTATTGTATGTTGACTCTGATTGTTTTGTTTCTTTAAGACTTCCTTAAATGTCGGAGTATTTGTGGACAAACAAATGAGCTTATGATCTGAGCATCTAAGTAGCTGTTTGTACCACCTACTTTAACATGGTGCTGCTGGGCTAAATTATTTCTTTCAAGGTTTCTCTCCACAAAATTCTTCTCTGTTGAGGGAGTTCTCCCTTTGAAGAGCTGTAGAAGTTTGTGTGGCAGAGGGGCGTGTTCTGAGTGTAAATGGATCTTTCACTCTGTGTTTTTTAGCTGGTCAAACACTCATGAACTTTATGGAAGGGTTTGTTCCCTCTACTCTCTGAAAGGAGAAGAAATAGGTGGTTATAATTTCTTCTTTCTCTTCCGGCTGCCACTGGCAATTGTGACAGTTGGTGTTGGAGATACATGTGTTGTGTTGTGTACAGCATCTCTTTACAGCACCCTGGAGCTAAGGCACTCAAAATCTATTGCATGTTCCTGTATCATACTGCAGGTACTGTGTTCAGATTCTGTGGTCTTAAACTAGTGAGAAAGGTATGTGAGAGATCTTGTTCTGCATAGCAGTGTTGAGATCTAGGAAGTTTGCCACCAAATTTGTGGTAGAAAATACTGCACCCTCATGCTTCCAAACTACTCATGTATACAATCGTAGCAGACATATTTTCCTTCACCATAATTAAGAGATCAGGGACTGTAAACCATGGTTCTTAGAGTGCACAATCAAAAATTTGATTCATCAAGAATTCCTAGCTTTTTGTTCTGGTTGACCACTCAGCCTCTTAAATGCTTTTTCTTTATGGCTTTTATTTTTTCTGTAGTTAGTAAAATAGGTATCTTATCTGTGTGATGCCTCCATTTCAGTTACGTTCTGTCAGGGAGGACATTCTGCCACATATCCTGTTGGCCTCGCTCTGAGGTACTTGTTCCCGAGTACTCATTTACTATGACAGATAATGTTTTTCCTTTCAATAAGGAAATGTTCAGCTGGACTGATTCTCTCCATGTGGTTAATGTTTTAGTCATATTACCTTCCTGATGCACTTATTGGAGATACTTAAGGGTTCTGCCAAACTTCACCTTGTTTGGAGTTCTAGACTTGTAGCATAGCCTGGACTTGATGATCTTGTTCTTCAATTTGATAGAAAACTGGAGCTCGTTTCTTTTAAAAAGAGGGCTTTCTTCATAACCTGAGTTTTTTCAGGAGGGCAAAATCGAGACATTGTTTTCAAATAGTTTTCTTTCTTAGAGTTGTCTTAGCTTCTGCCCAAGATTTTGATGAAATTTGCAACATGTACCTGTGTGAAACCAGCAGGTGGTTACCTGTCAGTATTCTTTCCTGGTCCTTCTGCTGGGCATCTTTGGCTGCCATGTGAAAATAGTTCCATTGTGAGTGGTCTGAAAACAAAGTCACTGAAGTTCGGATTTTTCTCCAGTACAAATTCTTCTCACTGTCTTTTCTTTTGTTGTTTGAGTTCTTGTAACCTTAAGACTAAGAAATGTAATTCATACTTCTTAGCTCCATGTGGGAATACTGGAAAAGACCAAAATCAACCCCCAGACTTTCAGGGCTGATTACTTAAGGCACGCATGTTAAGATGAAAATTCATCTTGAGGAATTCCATTTAGTGATGAATAGCTCTTGTTCTGGTAAATAATTTGAAATTTGGAGCTTTATTTTAGAACATTTTTATTGTCAGGGTGCAGGTCTCAGAATTGAATGCAGACAGCTGCTAGAGGATTGTTACATGAAACATGTTTCCATTTAAACACAAAAATAAAAATTATGACACCATTAAATTTGTTAAATTGTAAATTACTTGGAACTGTTAATTTTGGGTTAAAAAGGTAATTTTTATTTTTCTTATGATAAAGTCAGTGTTCAAGGTTTTGTGATTATACACATGATGTACAATTCCACACAAAAGTGCAACATTTTTGTATTTACTATTGTATATTAAATGTTTGAGAGTAGGTATGGTGAAAGATGGTTGTAAGAGATTTAAAACCTTGATGTATGTTACATCCTTTTTAACAGTATTTAATGTTTATTTAGGTTCCTCTAAAGAAGGAGGAGCTGGAGCTGTGGATGAAGATGATTTTATTAAGGCATTTACAGATGTTCCTACTGTACAGGTAAGATGCTGTGTATATTTGTGTTTGTCTTCAGAAATGTTATTTGTAATAATGTTTTAACCTGCTTTTAAAATTTACGTAATTTTACAGTGTTCTAAGCAAGCATCATTACTTTTCCCTCTCTCCGACCTTAGAGTCTCCATGGAAAGCTCTTTATATTTTTCCAGTAGTTATCAAAAAAAAATGTGCCACCTTTTCTTTAGTGTCCTACTAATTATTACCACATTGTGTTTTGGCTAAAATTCCATATTGCCTTTCTCAAACTTTTTCAGGAAACTAGTAAAAATAATTGGATGTTTTAATAAGAAAAAGATTAACGTAGCATTTGGAAAATTTGGGGCTGCAATTTCAAGGCATAATCAAGTAATAATAATACAGGCAAATAATTTAAAAAACAAGAATTGTATTTTCAAATTTGCCTGAACTGTAATAATCTGTGTCTGCTATATGTGTCCTTACTCTAGCAGTACTTAAAAGAATTAAATCTAGTGCCTTATTTTCATCCTAATGAACTTGCTGGATTCTGGGTTCTTAATTAAAAGATCAGATTTTAATTTCTAGTCTTTTAGTGTGGGAATTGCATGTATTTGATACTTTCACATAGTTGAGTCATTTAATATGTGTGTTGCTTATGAATAAGCTACTTTGAATAAGTTTTCCTTAAGCAGCTGAGGTGTGGAACACAACCAAAAACACAGTAAACCATAGTTCCCAAATGACAGGATTTTGTAAGACTCCCTTTTCTTGATATGTACTTCTGTTCTATTTTTATTTCCCTAGCATAGTTATTTGTTAGATCTGCTTCTGCAGGCAGCAGTACTGTCTGCTTTCATGAGGGAATGCTCAATCTCCATGATCCCTGTCACATCAAGGAAATCTTTGTCTAACACTGGAAGAGCTTTATGTATCTTTGTCTCTGCAGACTGTTTTAAGAATTCTTTGGAGGATGAAAACATGCAGCTCTTAATATTGTTTATCCCTATTACGTTAGAGCCATATTCCACAGAACAGAGAATGTGATGCTTGTAGTTCAGTGCCTTAGTGTTTGCAGTCCCAAGCAGAGTTCTCTAATTGTTCAGCGTGGTTGGTAACTGCAAGAACAAAAATGGGGTGACCACCTGATGTGGACCAACATGTTATTTTCTGTCTGCTGAATGGCCTAGGAAGGTAGGTCAAGAGATAGAGGAGAAAGTAATTTGTCTTTACTCGTCTCCCTCAAATTGCAGTGAGGACATAGGAGAGAAATGGTATATAACTTATTCCAAAATTACCTATTTGTTTCATGGATGAGCATGCAAGAAAAAAAGCAGGATTTTTTTGGTTTTAGTGTCCTTAGGAATAATGGCTTCCTGTCCATCTTCGCGCTTCTGGTTGTGGACAATCTCTGGTATTTCAGAAAAAACACCAAAGCAGATTTTATGTTCTGTGACCATATTAAATACTAAGGAAGTGGGAAATTTTTCTCTTAGACTTGTGAAGAAAGAATGTTTATGACCTGTAGTTTACCAAATTATCCTAAAAGTAAAGGACAGCATGAGGAGAGAGAGCTGTTTGGATGTTACCGGGCCCATTCCTGTGTTTCTTCTGTTTTCATTACATTTATGGGTTTGAGTAGTGGCTTCAATGAAAGTAAGAAAGGAAACTGTATGGAAAACCAGATTCAATTCTGGATCAAGATTAAGTGCATCTGAATTAATCAAATAAATTGAGGTTACTTACAGTGTGGATATGTTTTAAGTCACCCTTAAAAGTCTCCAGTGGTAGATCTGACTTTCCAGTAAGCTGTTCATATGACAGCTCATCTTTTTTTAGGAATGCCATATTGTTTACATGTACCCGGTTTTCAATCCCCATATTGAAAATACTTTCCATATGTATAGTCATTCTTACTTGTGTTTGAGGTTTTAATTTTTCTGTCTTTGATGTTATAGTTGCCTTTAATGAAGTGTATGTTGCCCTCTAATGGATAGAAGCTGTTTATGAAGATAGATGGGTGATTTCTAGATGTAGTCTGATGGATCTGTGTGCCAGAAAGTATTGTAGTTGACAGGATTGTGCCTTCATATTCAAGATTACAACCTTACTGTTTTTTCAACTTAAGCCTTGGCTGAAACAGAAGAAAATTCTGTGTTTGGGTTATTAAGTGTAACTCCCATTAATAACTAAAATCTGTTTGAAAACAAGTTCAGTTCTTTTTATAAAGTCTGATGTGGGAACTTGTGAGCAGAAAATGCATTATGTCATTGGCTGAACACATAATTTCATCTTGGCCTCCTAAAAGTATAATTAATTGAGGGCAGGGAGAAAAGAAATTATTAAAATATTGTGTTTTATTCCTGTGAACTTAAAGTAGGTATGTACAACCTTGAAAATACAGGATTTTTCAGTGGAATTATGACTTTCATTTCATGACAAAATAAAATTATACCGCTTATTAAATTCTACATAGCAATGCTAATTTGAATATTGTTTAGGCCAGTTCTATTTGTGCCTGACAGTTAAAGAAAAAATTTAATTCTTTGCCTAGAAATGCCAGTAGCGTGGACATGAACCCATTGAAGAGGTTGTTTCTTTCTTTGTCTGGTGCCCAGCATGTTTTCATCCTGTACTATACTATACAACATGGTCACTCCCATTACACAGAGGCTGACAACAAAAAAGTCCTATTTTCAGGATTTGATTAATGAAACAGTTTGCAAAAGGTTTTTGTACCTTTACCAGGACTTCAGACTGAGATTTGAATGTACATTGAATGGTCCTCAGTTAGATGCCACCAAAAGGCATCATCCTGTTCCCTTCTTTTTGCATTTCACTTCTTTATGATAAGTTCACAGAGAAATGCTGAGTTTCCTGAGAAATTTTTTCCTCTCCTCTTGTTAGGATGAGCTTTTGGTATATTAAAGCTCTGAACTGAGCAGGAGACAGGTCAAGGTAGTTTATGATAAAGGGAGATCCTGAAGAAGTTGAGTAATGTCATGAATTCTGATACATGAAGTGTCACTGTAATGTGAAGCTGCATCTTGAGTTAATCAATGACTAGTCCCTCACGCTTTCAAAGAAAAATAAAAATTTTCTTTCTTAATGGAAATTAATTTTGATAAAAAAGCTTACTGAGACACACATAATACTTTTTTTAAGAGTATGGTGCTTACAAGAATTAGTGTTAGAATAAACTAGGGTTGTGTAACAACTATTAATAGGCTACTAGTATACACAAATATATTAAATGGTGATACAAAACTTGTGTTTGATTTTGTGGGCAGTGGAGTAGGAAGTCTGTTACACTCACCCAATTTTTTTCGTTAAGTCATTTGTTCATTTTAAGTTAGTTTTACATCAGATGTTTAGTGACTTCCAGTAAAGGAAAAGTAATCATGAGGAATAGCTTTCTGGTTTTTATGGATGCAGTCATGTCTCCTGTATAGAACTTGAAAGCTGCTTCTACAGTGTATCCTGGAAGAGCTCACAGAGCTGCATGGTAATAAAAATCTCAGTTTTGTTGGTAAAGTATATTCAGAAATAGTTTTTCACTTTTTAGTGAAGCTGGCCTGGGTGTACTAAGTCATCTGTTTCTGAAAAGGTTCCTACCCTGTTTATTCTGGAAACGCAGCATGAAGGTGTTTTAGAGCTCTGATGTCTTTCACCTCCTCCATATTCCAGCATGAGATATGCACACCTCCATAACCATGTTCTGTTGAAGTGTTGGAAAAAGAGTAGATGTCAATAGAGTTAAGGTTCCATATCTTCTGTAAGTTAAATTAATTTGATGCGCTCAGGAAACTGCAAAGCTAAGACTGTATTTGAAATAACCCTAACATTTTAAGATGCCTGGGAATTTAAGATATTTTCAAGAAAATAATTATTCAGCTTAACTGCAGAAGAAAGTCATTGCATCATTTTAACAGTAAGATCAAAGATGCATAAGTACGTGCTAGAACAGTGTGTTCAAGAGACAGAGTTCCTAAGCAATTCATGCAAAGCAAGGTGTCCTAACTGCTGGCCCTTGTTTCCTCTGTGTGCTCTTGCACATGTAAAAATTATGTCTTGTACTTAACTACTGAGGGAGCGTCAGGCCCTGCTATTTAGGTGCTACATAAGTTATCATGCTGATGTCCAGGTTTCCCTATAGAAAGCTGTGAGTTTCCTTGATGTCCTGACCCACATCTGCCAGCCCTGTGTCTTGAAGGTGTCTAAGGTGGCACCAGGTGCTAGTGGATGAGCCAGTGAGTTTTGCCCAATCTGATTATGTTAAAAAACTTCTGATCCAAAAAACTGGAAATGTTTAGCTGAAAATACTTTTTTTTAAAGAAACACAACTCTGGCCAGATTAAGTTTCTCCTTAGTAATTTGCTTCATATTCTCTTAAACTTGTTCACAGTCTGGAGGGAAAAAAAAACTTTAAATTTTGCATATGCAGTGGAAGCAGAAAAAAGCGTCCTTTGACTTATGTCCAAGAAAATAGAAGGGAGATCACTTAATTTGACAGTAATATTTTTTCAGGAGTAGGTTTTTTATTCCTTTCTTCTTTAAAAATACATTCTTATACATGTACAGTTCAGTAAAGACATAAGTTCATTTACAACCAAATAGTGATTGTTGCGTGATCAGATTGTTCAGGCTTCAATAATGGCGGTCTTACTGTATAGTGAGAATTCTGAGTAGAGGTGGCTCCTTATATTTACTTACTGTATAAGTTAATGAACTATAGTCTTAAAGTAGCAATACATAGAGAAGCTATGGAGGGCTTTTCATTTAATTTTTCAGACAAATTTTAATTCTAGTGTTCTCACAACCCAATTAGTTCCTCAGAGAGTCCCAGCTCCAAAAGAGTTGCAATGAGTTAAAATGTGGGTTTATATTTTGAGTTTCATTATAAGAGTGAGTATGAAAATGAAACTGAGTTTCTGTATTATTGCAGCAGATTACCTAAAACCTCTGCTTCTATTGAAAGATTTATTTTTTTTTAAGTGGAGTTAATGAAATTGTGGATATTAATAACTCATCACAAAGGTGAAAGGTAAAATCTTTGTGATGAGTTGAAAGGAAAATGTTGCTTCTTCAGCCTTTTTTTTTTTTTTTCATGAACATTCATTACTCAGTGATGTCCTTACAGACTGGTTTTAAAGTGCTTATTTATGACCCTTGCACAGATCTCTGAAACTCTGGGGTTAAGATTTGTGGGATTAGAATTTTATTTTCACTCTCTCAAGCTATTTTTCTTCATCACAATACCTGGGATATTAACAATATAAACTTGCTGATTTTTTTTTTAATTTTTTTTATTTTTAATGTTTCAGATCTATTCTAGTCGAGAACTTGAAGAAACGTTGAACAAAATCAGGGAAATTCTCTCAGATGACAAACATGATTGGGATCAGCGAACTAATGCGGTAAACTTCTTATCATAAAGCACAGACTGATATTTTAAAATGTTTTTTTCCTAAAGTAATTACACTCCAGGTAATGAAAGAATTTTCCATTTTAATTTTTACACCTTGAATTTCTGCATTTTAAATAAGTCTAAAATGCATTTTTGCTGACATTTACATGGAAGCTTTTCTAAAAGCCATCTTACATGTTTAAGTTTGGCATTTATGCAAAATTACATATTCTATAGGTTAACTACTTGCTTTAGTACCTTTGTGTGCAGCTATGAAAAGTTCCACTTACAGGGTTAGAATGTTTGAGTGATGTATCATTTATATTTTTTTAATCAGGTTTATTAAATTACAGCCATGTATTTTGAAAATTTTGCTTTAAAGGCATGCCTACATGTATTTTTACATAGTGAAGCTGTTCCTTTATTTTTCTTATTTTGAAATGCGTATTGGCAGTGTCCTAACCGAAACACATTAATTTTTTTAGCTGAAGAAGGTTCGGTCCTTGCTTGTTGCTGGAGCTGCGCAGTACGATGGGTTTTTCCAGCATTTACGGCTGTTGGATGGTGCTTTCAAGCTGTCAGCCAAGGACCTCAGATCCCAGGTGGTTAGAGAAGCCTGCATTACTGTAGCGTAAGTACAGTTCGTGTGCCTTTGTGTCCCTTGCTAGATGTTGGTGTGGGGATGGCTTAGGGGTGCTTTTCCCGTGTCCAGGAGAGATTGTCTTGTTGGACTGCCATACACTCTGACCAATAAAGAGTCAAGTCAGGATCAGAAGCCACAGAGGAAGAGAAATGCTTAAAGGAGTTTTTTCTCTTAGGGGATGCACATAGTTGATGATCCTGTAACAGACTGTATGGGGATACCCAGTTACCATCATTGCAGAGTCATCATTAGTGCAGGTTAATGTGGTTTGAACATAGAGCATTTTGGTGAGGTAATACCTCTCATAGAATCATAGAATGGGTTTGGGTTGGAAGGGAATAAAATTCCTTAAAAATTATCTAGTTCCAACCCCCTTGGCAGTGCAGGGACACCTTGCATAGGACCAGGTTGCTCAAAGCCCCATCCAGCTAGCCTTGAACACTTCCCGGGTTGTCTCTCTGGACAAGAGACAGATGACCGTGATAGTTTTAGAAGCCATGGTGGCTAAACTGAAATGAAATCTTCACTGTTAGCATCTTGTTGACTCCTTTAAATTCAAGGGCAGAGGGGAAAACCAGAGTAGTCTTTCCCAATTCCATGTTTTCCATGACTTTTTTTATCCTCAGGAAAGACATTAGTGTAACCACTGATTTTCAGTAGCCATCTGAAACAGGAACAGCACAGAGTTCACTCTTGCTGTTCTGGTCTCCTGTTTGAGCAGACCAAGGGGAAATCTTGAAGCATACAACTGCCCTTTCCAAGGAAATCAAGACTTTGAGAAAATGATAGTAACCTTTCCTAATATGAAGTCAGGAGCAGTGTAAAAGTACTCTATAAATGTTTTCATCCAGGCCTAACAACCTGGAATTTTCCTTGATCCCTAAAACTTTGATATATTTGATGTGTCATTTTCTGCTGGCTACAAATTCTTTTTATATAGTCTTTCTGCACAAGGGAAGCATTTGTTGTCACCAACAGTTAAATTACTGTGTGTGGTGTGTGTTTTTATATTTGTTAAAACTGCAAACGTAACCGTGAACAGACAAGGGAGTCAAATCTTATGGTGAGTCAAATCTTATGATTTTGGTGAGTTTAGTAGTTTTGCTTGCATTCAAAAGTAAAAAAAAAGCCTCAATAACTTATTTACAGTTTTAGATTTATACATCTCAACATGTGTTAAAAAGCAGAAATACAATGATACTTTCTGTGCACATGAAAATTTAGGCTTTTGTTTTTCATTATGAAATTAAATTATTCATGTTTGGCTTCTTCTTGTGTCTGGAAATTGTGAAATTGAGAAATTCTGTTGTTTGGAAAGATGAATCCTTAAAATCCACAATGAACTTTGTTATTTTAAGACTAAGAAATTAATTTGTGTTTTCCCTAAACAGCCACCTTTCAACTGTTCTGGGAAACAAGTTTGACCATGGCGCTGAAGCAATTGTGCCTACTCTTTTTAACCTGGTTCCCAACAGCGCCAAAGTGATGGCAACGTCTGGGTGCGCAGCCATCAGGTTCATTATTCGGGTAGGTGTTCCTCTCTCGCTTTGCCTGCTAGGAATTTCCAGGTAGTGGCCCTTGGCAGAGATAACAACGATACTGAAACACAGGTTTTTAAATCATTCTTTAATGGAGGAGTAATGTTTCTCACGGGTGGACAAATACTATGTACCATTGCAAACCAGTTGACAGCATTGCCATAGTAAGGATGGAAGAATAGGTATGAAAAAGAAGTCTGTTTTCATATTTTTGGGTTTTTTTTGTGACATGTTAATTGAAACAAATACCAAGTGTGTTTCAGAGGGTTACTGCTTTTAACTGCCTTCTTGGAAAAGACGAAGTTAAGTTAGTAGCTAAAAAACTAATGAGAATTTGAATAATACAAACAACAAAACAAAGGTATTTCTTTCTACATATACACTTTCCCCCCCTGAAAAACTTTGTAACCATAGAGTTCATGGTAAAATGTTGAAGAGGCTACACATACCTGGATCAGTTCAGAAAGCACAAGTTCATGAACAAAAAATCCAATAGAGAGTGGAATTTTTTACTTCAAGAACTTTCTAAACTAAATCCTTAAAGTTATAGCATACGGAACAGAGGAGTGCAGGGAACAGTGAATGTTCTTTGAGCATCTTGTACTAACTGGTTCTCAGGCAAGATATTTAGAGTTTTGGGACTTGTACTTATACTTGGGTGTTTCACAGAAGGTGGGAGATTGCCTGTAGTTTCTCCATTAGAAGTTGTGGTGTTCTTAATGCCAAGCACTTAGTGCAATTTTGTGTGATCTCATCTGTGGTTTTAATTTTGTAAGTTGTTGGAAAACCTAAGAGGCTTCATCACTTAGACCTTTCATTGCCATCTTCGGTATGGTTTGGAACGTGTACTTGCTCTGTCTGTGCCTCTGAGAATGTGCTCCGAGACCTCCGCATTCATGAGCTTTGCATCAGCACTTGGGCTAAGACAAAATCCCTTGGCATTTTTTCCCCAGACTCTCACACTGCACTCTGAGATGGCACAGACTTGAGAGTGAGGGAAGGAATACACCTTACACAGGATAATAAAAGTTGTAAGAGAACAATACCATTTGCAGTCGTATAAGACAAGCTCAGGCATGTAAGAAATTGTAAGCATTCACCAATTACATTAAATTTGCTTTATTGGTTCAGTTCATTTGAAGACAAGCTTACACATCAGCTATAGTTGGCCTGATTTTGTTTAAATTTCTATTTTTCTTAGCTGTGACTTAACATATTGTATCTGAAGCATAAAAACAAGAAAATCCTGTCCACAGTGTTCAAACACCCAACCAATAAATGGTATATGTGAGGTGTTATGGGAGAAAATTTGGGTTTCAGAATTAAATATCAAAGAGAAGTGCAGTCCCATCTCTCTTTGGACTTCTGTCCTTTGGACTAAATGAGAATTGATCAGGGATCTTTGATCAATTGAATATTTAGAACCCAAGCTACTGCAGTTTTTGGAGTCAGTGTTTTACTCAAAAATTCCCACCAGCATCCAGTGACAGCCAGTTCAGTTCCTGATGCTTTACGGTGTAATTGCTGTAGAGGGAGTCTGCATAAAAGCAGGGAGGCTGTATTATACCAGTGATCCTGAAGACTTTCATCTCATCTTTGTGCCTTCATTGGATTTTGTTTTTCTTCTCCAGAAAGTTCTTACACTGCAGTCTGATTTCTCTTTCTTCACTCTTAGTACATCAGGAAGCCAGTTTAAAAAAAAAAAAAGGTGGAGGGGCAGGGAGGGAGTCATGGAGAGATGGTATGGTGGCAGAAATCTTCTTCAGAAGGTGATGGGATTCAGGTTTGTTAGCTGATTTTTGAAGTGGTTTTGCGGGGAAGCACGTATCAGTACATCCTTAAAGGAGTAGCAGATGAAATGTGACGTCATAAAAACTGAATGAAATAAGTCTGAGGTTTTGATTCCTTGGCAAAATACTTTCTAGAAATTACAACATCAATAGTTTCAAAGACTTTGAATGTACAGGTTTCTCCACCTGTAAAAAACTTTATTTTTAACCTTGATTTGCCTATTTCTGGAAGTCATATGCTTCTTTTCAATTTGCAAGTTTATACAAAACACAAACAAACCCCCTAAAACTGTGTTTAAGAGTATATCAGGACAAACAACTGTAACTGTTAGGCTCTTCCAGAGTTTTTGATTAATTCCTTCCTAATTCTAAAATTGGCAGTACTCCGTGAGCTGATGATTATCTCTGCTTTTTTTTGTGATTTGTGTGTTTATATCCTGCAGCTGTGATACATGAGAGAGTAAGAACTCTTCAGTACTGTGCTTCTTAAGATCTTGGATTTTTTTTAAATTTACCTACTGTTTGACACTGCATTGGGGACTGTTTACTGTAGGTATTTAATCAAGAAAAGGCTAAAGAAATTAACTGAAAATAGATTTGTTGAACCACATTATTCTTACTTGGAATTAAAATGGTAATGCTTTGTGTCCACAATTAGTTAAGAAAAGCTGAAGTAAGGCAGCTTTAATTCTGAATTAATGTAGTTTTATCTTATGCATAGCTTAAGCTTTCTTCTCCCATCAGGTGTTTCCATATAGATTATGTATATAAGCTTGTTTATATGTCAGTGCTTTTATTACTTTATTGACATATTTCTCATTAAAGGAAATTTGGTTCTTGTGGCACTAATCATACTGATCCTTGTAAGAATACCCATATTTTCGTATTTATTGATTCACTTTTTGCACTATAACCCTGACTTTTAAGATGGCTATGTCTACTACTTTTTTTTTCCTATAGCAAAACTAAAATAGCATCAGCTTTCAGCTCCTTTGAGGCAGCAGCTACATTTGTGCTTCTTCTATTACTTTTGACAGCAAAGTATTGCATATCATGATGTGATTGTGGATGGCACTGAAAGTGGTTTTTGCTTGACCTTTTGGTATAAAATAGCTTTAATCAATTGCCATTCTAACAGCAGTCTTTCATTTAATAGTATTCTATAATTTAGTTTTAGTAAGCATTTTAAATTATTGCAGTTTTTATTATGTTGTCAATTCTGTTTGAATTAATACAGTACAAACTCAGATTTCAGGAATGTTTTTCTCATTAACCGCGTTGTCCTTTTTTTGTCAGCATACTCATGTGCCACGACTTATACCTTTAATAACAAGCAACTGTACCTCAAAATCAGTTGCAGTTAGAAGGTGAGTACATCATAAATGAAAATTATTGAAGCTGTTGCTTTTTAAAATATGATTATCATATGCTGAAAATTAACTAATTAGAATATTCATGGCCATAAAGGGTAAACACACAAACCTGTTACCTAGTAAACTGCAAACTAGAAAAATTAATTTCAGCCTTGAGACAGTGGCAGCTACCTTAGGACATGGAGCATCCATGTGTTGTTGTGTTCAACAACTCGGCTACATCTCCAGCATGTTGCTTTCTCCAAGAATGTGATGCTCGAACACTTAGGTTGGCTCTTGAGAAAATGAATTGTTTTTTGGTGGTGTCATTTTCTGCACCAAATCACACAAAAGCAGTTAATGCTGTTTCTGGACCGACACTAGTCCTGAAGGTGATGTCACTGTGTGTACACAGGAAACATCTGAATTACTTTCTTTGAGTCTAAGCTGCTTTTGCATCCAAAGCAAGCATTACCTCAGTACTGTACTGTACCATACTGTACTGACCTGACACAACTTTGGGTTGGACTGCAAAACAATTTGCAGGGCTTCAGTTGCCTCCATGTGCTTGTGGCTTTACTGAGGATCATTAGACTGTAGGTGGCTTTGGTACTGCAGTTCACAGTTCAGTATCAGTGAAGGCATTGTCTCCATACTGCTTTCATTCTTTTGGAAAGACAGCAAAACACTAGATTGGTTGTAATAGTGATAGCACAGTGAAAAGCATTTCAGGGTTTCTTGCCATGCCCTGCTGGTGTCCAAAGGATTTGGGCAGAAAAAAACCCCAAATTTGTCCCTCCAGAACAGGTCAAAAATGCTGAATAACCAGAAAAAGTGATAGTTTCAGGCTGTTAAGTTCACTACATGTTTGAAAATTATCTGCACCTCCCTAATCTGTGTCAGTTTGATTTTTCTTGAAGATGTAGCTTCAGACATAGTTTAAAAGTATGCCTTTTGCTAATGGTGGTTTGCTAAATTGTCAAGATTCCCAAATTAATAATGAATGCAGTTACATAACTTCATTAATACAATGCCAGAAAATCTTTTGCAGTGCTTTCTACATGCAGAGCTCTCTGCTAATGGTCTTGTGTTTTCCTTTATGCTACATACTCAGTAATGACAGATGGAAGGATGAAAATAGGGTTTTGGACAGAAGTATACTGCCACAGAAATACCATATTTTGTCTTTAATATTTTTTTTTATATTAGGATCTTATACTCTGTACAATATTTTCAACATCATTAATTTATGTCTGTTATTTTGAGACTAATACAGTTAACACAGGGTATGTGTAATAACATGACTTGAACAGCACATCATTAATTGAACCACATCTATTATTTTGAAGTTGGAGATTAGTTAGCCTGTGTGTTTGCTTAATATGCAAAATATTTTAACTTTCCAGTAAGATGACCAATGCCCTTGTTTGACAGATAAATGTACTTTTATTTCATTTATTTCCCTCAGGGGAAAGAGTAAAGTTAGTGTTTATTCCACAAGCACATTAGAGAAATAAGTAATTATAACTTATGTTCTGTGTTTTTAGGCGCTCCTTTGAATTTTTAGACCTGTTATTACAAGAGTGGCAAACGCATTCACTGGAAAGGTATGGGCTATACTTTTTTCCCCTAAAATAAACTGCTAATGTAATTTAAGACAGAAATATTGTCGTTGAATCCTTTAATTGGATTATGTTGTTCAGTGTTGGCCGGCCTTTCTGGCATAGACAGCCTTTCTAGCACAGCAGGTCATGCGGCTCATTCAGGTGCCAGGGGGAAGGAGAGCTGTATGTTCCAGCCTTGGCTTCCTGTGGCCTCCTCTCCTTACCCTTTGCCTCTCCTATCCTGCGTGTGAGCAATGCATACACAGGTAAGCATCTGTCTTTTCTCCTGGAAGGAGGAAATTTGTGTGTTTGCTATGGAAGAGGGCAAGTGGGCTTAGGCTGGAGGACTTTTTGTGGTAATGAGTACAGGCATACAGTGACTTCTCCAGATAGATGGGAAAATAGTACATGCATCAGTTCTGTAGGATGGTCATTGTAAACACAGGGTAAGAACAAAGAAACTAAAGGGCATCCAGAAAAGGCTCTGAAGAATTTATCCAGCTCCACATTTCTGTCCCTCAGGGTGCTCCTGAGAAAGGGGGTAATGGGGAAATCATTTATGCCAAAGTGTCTTAACCCACAAAAGCCACCACCTCTCCCCCACCCCCTAAAGAGCAAACCTCCCACCCAAAGCTTACCTTGAATTAAAACTTGTTTATCTTCACAAGTTTGTGTTCTGATGGATACTGTGCTGTTTGCTGAACTTGTATTCAGGTTTAGAACTTGTATGCCAAAAGCTTTCAGAGCTGAAAGAAAACTTACAGTCTTAATTTTTCCCCTTTTCTTAGTATTAATGTAACAGTGAAAATAGTTTTTTCATTTCAGGAAGGCAGGTGTCTTAAACAAGGTATTTTTAAATAACTTTTTAAGTGTGATAGGTGGATGTATGTCAGAAAAGTAGATTAAAATCCTTTTAGATTGAGGGAATAAGCTGACCTAAACCTTTACAGAAGGGACAGTTATGTCATCGGTGTACTTAAGTGTTTGTTTACTGTATATTTTGTAAAGAACTAGCATTGCAGCTGTTTTTCACTTGGTGAAATGTTAATTATGGTGTAAAGCTACTGCTTAGAATTTGGAGTAGCAAAATAGCATGAAGAATGTCTTTCTTCTAGGCATGCAGCTGTCTTGGTTGAAACAATCAAGAAGGGCATTCATGATGCTGATGCAGAGGCAAGAGTGGAGGCAAGAAAGTGAGTTTTGATTTATTTTGCTCTGAAAAATTGTATGTGCTAAGTGAGTGAGAGAAGGAGCTAATCTAAGGTGAGCTGCTATTCATGGCTGAAGAGGAGGACGCAAGTTTGTTTTAAAACTGACATTTCTGTCCTGAATTACTACCTAGTTTCTTTTGCAAAAGACGTTCTCAAAGTTGAGTCAGTCAATACAGTTGTGCAGCATTTAATGATTCCACTGAAAGAAGAGTTAGAAAGGTTGATATTGCTGCATAATCATTCTCCTCCCATTAATTAAGTTTTTAAACAACTGCAGCATTTTAACTAGTGAGAAGGCCATTAAATAATTCCTTTTGCTTCTCCACACAACTGGTAAGTGAATGTGAGACATTCAGAGGATAGATGTAAGTTATTTCGAAGAGATTAATTCAGTCAGTGTAGCTGGTTTCTTTTATGACTTGATGAGCATTGTTGTGTGCTTTACATACTCTTCAGTTCCTTTCACTCCCATCCATGGTTCATTCTGTAATCTTTACTTCCTGACTCCACCCTTTAAAGAAAACACGGAGCATTTACATGTGGTTATTCTTTTTTGCAGGGCTTATCTGGGTCTTAGAAATCACTTTCCTAGTGAAGCTGAGACTCTCTACAATTCTCTGGAGCCCCCCTATCAAAGAAGCCTTCAGACCTACTTGAAGAATTCTGGCAGTATAGCATCTCTCCCTCAGTCAGACAGGTCATCTTCTAGCTCACAGGAGAGCCTCAAGTAAGGGTCACTTCACTGTTTCTGAGCCAAGAAACAAATGCATTTTCTCAAAAGCAACTTATCCAGGTTCCTGTTAAATACAGAAAAGCTGCAGTTTTATTTTGTGACTTCAAATTTTTTAAATAAAAAATTCTTCTGTGGTGTTTTGCTATATGACAGTGTTACCCCAGCGAGGTGGAAAGTACAGGCAGTCTTTAACTGGACTTTAGCATGCTGTATTCATACACTCATTCCTTAACAGCTGCTTTAAACACCAAAATATCTTCAGGGTTCATATTGATGTCCAGCATTCTGATGCGCTGATTAGGTCAAGAAAAGCTGGTGTTACAGCTTTTTCATCTCTTTTCACTGGCAAGCATGAAAGGGGACTATCAACAATGAGATTTATTCAGGTTGGAGATTGGTTTGGTTTTTTTTTTTCCCCTGTCTTCACAGTATTGAATATGTATCAGCAGTATTTTGCAGCTCTGCCAGTTACTACAGGGTGGGTCTGTGCTGCAGTCAGTGATGTATTAAAATGCGTAGACAGTCTTGAGCTGAATAAATTAAAGTTTTCTTAGCTACCATGAGCAAAGAAAATCTACTGGCTTTTTAGCAGAAACGTGAAGTAGTAATAGTATGTGGTAATTTTTGCCTTTAAATGCTAGAAAGTTTCCTCAAAGTATTTCAGTCTTTCAATATTTCAGATCTTAATTACCAAAACCAGAGAGCCTGTCTGCTCACTTTTGACTTGAAAGCAAAGACTGCTTCTTGCATATTGGAAGTTGCTTTTTTTTTTCTTTTTTTTTTTTTTTTTACTAATGTCTTAAATACCAGAGGTTTACCTTATATTTCCTATGATACTTGTAATTATAAAAAATTGTTTAAAAAATAATTGCCTATGATGCAAGCAATTGCCAGCACTTCATTTTCCACAAATATTTATTCAGAGATTAAATATTCTTGTTTAGATGAATCCGTGTTCCCCGTCTGAAAAGCAAAGCGCTGTTAATGAGTTACTGGTAATATACCGCTAAAAACTAAATTACAGGGAAATTAGAATCTTAAAATACTCCTAAGTCTTCAAATGTTGCTTCCCATATTGCAAGTTGTGTAAGTGCTACAGTACAGAAAATGAGGGGTAAAATAAGAAATGAAAAGAAGAGGTGATGATATTGGAAATTAATTAAATTTTAATTGCTTTATTACTACCTTTGCATTCAGATGCATGTTTTTAGTCTGTTATCCAAAATTTTATTTCTGGCTTTTAGTATAGATGCTGAATTCTCCCTGTATAGGCCAAATTAGGGAATATGGATATAATTTTCCTAGAAGTCTGATCCTCTGTGATTTTTGACCTTCTGAACTTACATCTCATACAGGTCATTAATCCAGAATTGTTTTAGAGAAGATGGAGGAATGAGAGAGAAATGTGGTGACTTCTGCCTGCCTCTATGAAACTGCTTTCGTAAAATGTCAATTGAAATAGATTGTGGCAGTTGTCTGGGACTTCCGTTTGGAGCAAGTTGTAAGGTCAGGATGCACCCAGGAGCTCTACCTCAGCTTCCTTGCCTTACTTGAGGCAAGGTCCCTTCAAAACACTAGTTAGTCATGTCAGAAAAGCGGATTTTGCTCAGAATAAGCTGCAAACACATGTTCTTCTGTGAGGATGTAGGTAATGATGGTGACTGAGGATGTAATTACTGCAGAGCACCTGAGCTAATAACTGAGGCAAATACAGTATGAAGTATCTCTTTTCTCTTTGCTTTTACGTTTAAAATCAGAAGAATTATTTTTACTAAAGCTGAGACACTAATTCAGCTTGTAATTTGACTGCTGATGAAATACTCAAGTATTTCATCAAATACAAACTTTCCCTGTCTGATATATGCTATTATCTTTTCTTCTAACAGTATTTTTTTCCCCCTGGTCTCTCTGGCTGCATTTTACCATTCCAAAGCAGGCCAAAGGATGGGCTCACAATTAAACTTGGCTAGACTGAATTATTGTGCTTCAGTAACTACTCTTTTTTGCAGTGAAAAGGAAATTAAGACAAAATGTAGAGGAAAAGACATGCAATTTTTCTCCTTTTTTAAGTTGCAGTAACCTCTACATTCCAGCAAGGGAAATGGAATCCAGCTGCTGGATGGAAGCATCAACATTTCCTTTTTTAATTTATAACTTATTTCTTGAGACATCTGGGACTGGAGGAGGCTTATGAGTTGGACACCTGTTTTTCTTGTTACTGCAGACACCACTTCACATAATGTCTTTCACAATTAAAGCTTTTTGGGTAGCTCCCAGTGTTCCTGTTTGATGGCTGATTTATAAGATCAGCCCTGTGGTTAAAACCTTGTACTGACCACCTTAAATGTTTCTGCAACCAAGTCTGGAATGCCTGAACTTTGTTAGCAAAGTGTGCCTGTCGGCAGCTGAAGGATTAGTGCTTTGTGATAAAAATGTAATTTTATAAAATATACAGGATAAGATAATACTGTTTTTCTTATCATTCTATATTTAAAGTATTTATCTATGAAATCTGCAGAGAAAGTTGAAGGGGAGAAAAAAAAAGAGACTTTTTTCCCCTCGGTTTTATTTTTGACTTTTGCATCTGATACATGAGACTTACTGGATTTATTGACTTTTTTCAGTCGGCCTCTATCATCTAAATGGTCTGCAGCCAGCCCAGCAAGTCTTGCAGGCAGAGGTAAGGTGGTAGTAATGTAGTGCAGTGCATAGTTACTGTTCTTCATGTTCTTCAAATTAAAAGTTCTGAATGCAACATAAAATTTGACTGGATCAGCATTTACCCTGTTTCCAAGATAAATAATGGTGTATGTTACTACAGACTGTACCTGGAGCTACGATTACCTCACACTCACTTCACATTTTATGTCGGTTGAGTTGTTTCAGGTATAACACATAATTCAGTATTGATCATCTGTCCTGGAGTTTTGTCATGGAACAGTCACTCTCAAAGAAACAAAGCATTATTCTTTTGTCTGTTCATGATCAGGAAATTAAAGACTCACTGTCTCTTTCATCTCTTCCCGTGAGCTATTGCTCTTAATAAATAAATAAAGAACAACAGCCAAATGACGTATCTGTAATTCAAAGAGTTTAATTATGTGTTTAGTTCTCAGAATTGAATAACTTCAATGTCTTTTCCCATAATGTCTTAGTAACTCTCTGAAGTAAATCATTGAGCTGCTTTTTACAAATGGACTGTAATTAAGAGTGGATACTGAAACTGATAAGATGAGTCAAGTTTAGAAGATCTAAGACAATGGTTAAAATTAAGCAAATAGTTAAAATCCGGTAAACAATAGGAAGGGAATGTGAAAATACTAAAGATTAGATCCTAAAGCATTTCAGAGTATACATTCAGGTCACCTGTTTGTGGCTTTACCTTAGCTGAAGTTTGGGAATATTTTCTGCCTTCAATATCTCAAGGAAGGATGTGAATTTTCTTACATTTGTGAATCATTTGATAATGTAATAAATCACACAAAGGTTCAGAATTATATTTGTGCTAGGGTGGGAACAGACAGTTTGCATTAAAAAATGCTAAAATTTCATGCTGAATAAATACTACTGTAAAACTAACTGTCCTTTATAAGCAGTCATGGCAAGACCAGGTCTAGTTTGCTTTTTAATCTCAGTAATTCTTGGTTTAATACTAATTTAAGCTTTTTACAGTGCTACGTGCTTTCTTGCAAGCAGCTGTGGTAGTAGATGATGTTAACCTTTTAAATATCATTTGTTTTATTCAATACCAACTCCTTTCTTGTTGTTTTTTTCTCTTTTCTGGTAGTTTCAGGCAGCAGCAAGGGCGTCCCAAGCCCGGGCACGCTGCAGAGGTCTCGCAGTGACATTGACGTGAATGCTGCCGCAGGTGCAAAGGCCCGCCACGCTGCTGGGCAGACAGCTGGAGCCGGGCGCCTCTCAGCAGCCGGGCTCCCCCCGGGGTCCTACGCCTCCCTAGGTAAGGGAAGCACCTCTGCACTGCTCTCAGAGGTTTCTGTGATTTTCTTGGTCAAAAAGTTACAGTGCAATACTCCTGGATTTGAAAAGCAGTCATCGTCGTTAGTAGCACTGGGGTGTGCCAAAAAGAGCAGGTGTTCTGAAGTATGTCGCAAACTTGCCTAGGTTTGTTTTGCTTTGTTTTTCTTGTGCTGGAAGAATGCCAGTGCAAAGAGTGTGTCCATACTATGCTATTTGAATGTCTTAAACTAGAATTACTATTAAGTGTTGGAAGGAGTGTTACCTTTACTAAACAGCAAGTGGTGAACATGCCTCTTTTTGTTTGTAAAAGTAACAGGGAAATGAGTATGAGAGCTCTTGATTTTCCATTTTTCTCAGCTTTTCAGGTATTTTACAAGAGTGCTAAACAGATACCCTGGGAGTAAGAGGTGGCTTCTTCATGAAATAGTGCAGTGTTTTACACAGTAACTTACTACATTGAGTTCATAATTTCTTCCTAAAGGCATCAATGGAACTATGTGTATGCTTTACCTAGCTGACAGCCTCCATTGATACTTGCTGTTAGACACAGGAAGTGCTACAAGTGGTAAGAGCGCAGGAAAGTATTTGATAGTGGTGGTAGAGTAAGTGCTAGAACATCCACTAAATGGCCATATTAAAAGATAATGAACATGTTTTTGTTCTAATTTTTTATCTTCTCCATGCTGTAGGCATAATAGTGGGGGAAAGGAGGTTCAGTGTTCACAGAACTGGTGTTTTCTTCCCAGCTTCTGTGCCAGTTAGATCATCAAGGAGAGACTTGTTCTAATGTTATTATGGCCATAGGTGATCAGAAGAGACATAGAAACTATATAGTTCTTCTGATTTGCATTGTGTTTAGGTAGATGTTAGCATACGTGTAGGCTGTGGTTTGCAAAGATTTTGGTTGTGCTTTTTAAAATCAAAACTTAAGTTAAAAGCTATCTAAAATTAGTTGATTCTTTTCTCATCAGGGCCTGCTTGGAACGCTGTGAATGGCACTGATTTTAGTGTTAAAGGGTGAGCAATCCCGACTCTTAAAAGGAGTACTTGGTACTCGAATAGCAGTTTCGGATGTGGGCTCCCTCTGGTGCCCACAGAGGGGGCAGCAGAACCTGCTGGGTCGCAGGTGGACACCGATATGAAGCTGCTTGGCAGAGGGGGTACACTGCTGGTTCCCTAGGGAAACTGTGGATGCCCCATCCTTGACAGTGCTCAACACTAGGCTGGATCAGGCTTGGAGCAAACCATTCCAGTAAAAGGTGTTCCTGCCCACAGTAAGGAGGTTAGAACTTGGTGGTCTCTTAGGTCCCTTCCAGCTCAAACCATTCTGTAATTCTGGAACTTAATGCCTAAAAGCCTGAAATACGTGGGATGGTTATTGTCCAAGATCAGAGTATTACCTGGTGTGTTTTCATGTGCAACAAAACATATTTTGAACCTCAGGCAAAGCTAGCATTCAGAGAAGTAAAACTGGTGCAGAGCATGGTGACAAAGGGAAAAGTCAAATGGAAAACAAAGAGAGAGATCCTTCACTGTTAATGTCATCTTTTTGCTGCTCAAATGACAGGACTATATTGTCTTCAGACTTCCACAGAAAATTAGCTCTTGATTGGAGTATTGGTTTGCTTTTAGAACATTTTAAGCAATATCTGATTCATGCGAAGAATTTTGTAAGCGAGGGTTGAGAAGGGCACAGAGGTTTCTAGTGAAGTAAACAGTAGTGAATTTATACAGGAAAATAACAGAAATAGCTTATTCACTTTGTAATTTATTGATGAAGTGATTGAGGATGGGGGAAAGATATATTAAGCAATAAGTCTAGGTCCTATTCATTTGAAGGATTGGAGTTGCTGGAAAGCTTTACCTTGCTAGCAGATGCAGTCATGTGTGGAGAGCAGTGTGATGGTCATTTGAAATGGCAAAATAACATAATGCTGGCAAAGTACAATAAAAGCCAAATCCTAGTGCAGACAGTGAAAGGGCAGTGGTAGTCAAGGAGACCAAGGTTTGTTTGCAGTCACATAAAAGCAGTACTGCTTGACTGATCTTGGCTCAATTTCCCAACAGTTTTTTGACTGTGGTAAGGTAATTTGAATGATACAGATGATGTAGACAGTGTGACTGTTGCTTATTGTGGATTAGCTTTAAAATATTGTTTACTTTTAGTTTTCAAAAGGCATCCATAAAATGAATGGAATGCAAATTCAAGCATGTGCCGTGTTTCAGAAAATGGGCTAATTTGTCAAGTTCTTTCCTCTATTTATTTTAAGGGATTTATTTATAGTAGCCCAAATATGGAAAGTTAAATGACAGAACTATCAAGCTAATGCTGACCATGGTCTGAAAAGGCCTACGCAATGTTATTTTATTTCCATAACGCTTTCCACTTCCTTTAGGTGTTGCAGTCAGTACCAAAATAAATGACATTGTCTCCTAGAGCTTGAATTTATTTTCAGCCTGGCTTGCAGAGAAACATCCACCTTTTGCTTCCACCAAAATTTAAAGCTCAGAATGCCAGAAGCTTATAAGCATAGTAATCCATAATTGTGTTCACCCATCTCTTCCCTTTTCATTATTAATAGAAGAACTCTTGCTTATTTATGATCTATTAAAAGACTATTCTAGAAGCAGGAGGGTACTCTCCAGTTATTTTAAATATTGACTGTCTTTGACATCCTTGAGTATTAATGTCCTTGTTGAGGAGGCTTGAGCTGTAATTATATATGTCTCGTGCTAAATATTTTAATTTTGATGGTTACTGTCAGAATATTTATGCACTACCTTCCAGCTGAACTGGTAAATATTTAATGCTTTTAAACCAGAATGAAACTTTCTCTCATTTGTCTTCTGTCTTAATTGTGCTATTTTTTTTCCCTTCTGTCCCTTACCCCAGGTGGGGCTTCATGCTCAGAAACAAATTTCATAAGAAGTATAAATATGTGGTTCAGTTATGATATAAATATGTACTGATGCTTCAGTAACTGTTTACACCTACAGTGAAACCATTTATGAATGTTTTACTTGTAAGGGTTTTCTCAGATTTGGAATATACAGAATCAATTTCCTTGTGCAGGGTACTTGTATCCTGTTTTGTAATTTTGTACCTTGCACTGAGCAAAACCAACTTTGCTTAAGGTAGCTGTACATGCATTAATTAGATAAACATGTCTGCTGTATTTAATATTAATGTATTTTCCTCAATTAATGTTTTATGACTTTGCTGTGAACACCTTTATTCTAACACACTAAGTTTTCCATGTTTCTTTGCCTGCTTTTTCAACAAAGAGGATACTTCTGACAAGATGGATGGTAAGAAATTATTTAGTCTGTCCTCTAATTCTGTTAAATATCTAATAAAGTGTCTTTTATGTAAAAGTAATATGTTTAATATATTTCTGTTTATTAACAAATTACTATGCTGTGTCCACTAATTCCTGTGTAATCTTGATGTATTATTATATGTGTTATTGCTGTATTTGTCAATTTTGTGAATGTTTAGTCTGTATCAGCAACAGAAACATTATCAGAAATGTGACATTACTCCTCTTTCTTTAAAAGAAGCTCTGTTAATTACAGAGCAGTTTTGTAATCTTTACATGCTGATTTAAACTAGCTAAATACGTGCTTTTAAAATTAATCTAGTTGCAGTTTATTCCATAGTTTTACATGTGAAGTCAATTTTTTTCACTTAGCAGAAAAGCAGTGGGAGAGCAGAAGATGCTTGACCATATAAGTATAAAAACAGAAACTAAAAAAAAAATCTCCTCCATCAAAATGATCTAGCTTTGCTACATAATTTTAAGTGCCTTTAAATTCTGTAGTACAAAGTAATTCTATTAAGGAATCATTTGTGAAGAAGACCTACCTGTTAAAATAGCTTACCAAATATTCCACCTAAGTTTTAGCACTTGATTTTTCTTAATTCACTCTGTTACAAACATATGGAGGGACTGCAAAGCAGTTGAGCATCAAGCTTCTCATAGGATTTGTCTGCTTCAGGTGTGTGCAAATAATGCTTCACATATAATAAAGTGACAGTCCCAACCTGCTGCTCGTTGGTGCTTGTAGTTCTAATTTATTGCTTGGGAGCACTTTAAAAGCACTTAACAAGTTTGCTGCTTACCTAATATTTTGTGTCACGTATTTATTAACTGTGCATGTTTGGAACAACAAGTAGTTTATTGGAAGCAAATGTATCTCATGAAAATGAAAAGAGTAAGAAGGTAATCTCTAACCCAGAATCCTGAATAATTTCCAAACACAGATGCTTCTTGAAAGAATTGGAGCTGGTTTTGAGCACTGAAGGTGTCAAGACTAGTTTGATAAAATGAGTAACATTTGTACAGGATAGTAGCGTCTGTATTGCTTATTTTCATAGTACATTTCCTTAGGCTATGTATAGTAGGCTTTATTTATAGCTGTTTGTTTATGGCTTTTATTTATAGTAAATCTTGAGCTTTGGACATTGTCACCAGAAATAAAGGTTCTTAGGACCATGTAGGCTTTTTTGTTTGTTCAGAAGTCACAACTAATGATATGTTGCACATCTCTCTTTAAAACCAGTTAGGGAAGTGCTATACAATTATCAGAGTAATGGGGTGGGGTTTTATTCTAGAGGCTATCTCTAGATATGATCTTGCAAGATGGAATGAAAACAGCTTAACTGTCTGGCTGTAGTGGTATGATACAGCTGTTCTGATCTAATCACCACCAGGAGGAACTAATCATTTTTCTTTTTCCCACTAATCTTGTCCACACATTTTTTTATCTCTTCTTCTGTTAGCACCTTGTGATATTCCATTATTGATTACTGTAGGTGAACAAACTCCATAAAAGTGACTAATATTCTGTTACTTAGCTTTTGGAGCTGTCAGTGAGCCTTTAGTGATCCTAACCAGATGGTAGCACAAGGCTGAGAGGAAAGAGAAGTAGAACCACCTCTTTTAAGAGCAGCTGTCTGTTAGCCAGTCTTAGGTGTTGCATAGAATCTGCCTTCCGAGATCCAGCTCTGCAAGACTATTGGAGGGGTAGCTCAGAGTTTTGGGGGTTTGGTTTTTGTTTGGTTTTGAGTTTTTGCAGACTGGCAAATTTGGTCTGGAAAACTTTGAGACACTCCTATGTGTGTGTTACTGTAACTGATTTTTGTGAAGAAGCATTGAAATATACACTGAACTTTTACACTATTGTTTTAGAGGGAGTTTTTAAAAACAGTTCCATGGAGATACTGTAATATGAGAAAACTTTCCCATCAAATCTGACTAATTTCAGGGTAGCCAAAGACATTGACGAATGTTTTCATCATTGTAGTTCTCTTGCAGAGCTGAAGTAGTAGAGAGTGAAAATAAAAAAGGAAGTACCCTTCGATTTTTTTTTAGGGGCATTTTAACATTTTTGTCTTTACTAGTATATATTTTATTCCATAGTAAGATCTGTTTCAAAGGAACTTAGAGGAAGGAGTGCCAATGATCCAGCATCTCATCAGTTCCTAGGTACTGATGGGAGAAAGGCTTGTCTGACTCTCACCTTGGCAAAAATCAAGCCTGGTTAAGCTCAGCATACTTACCCAAGTGTGATCTGATTTCAGCAAGCTCATATTCCTTCCAGTCTCTCAGCAAGACTTGATCCTTGTGCATGTGTATTACCAGAGTAATCACAGGCTTAATTCAGAGAAATCCTTCTTGCTGGCAGTTCCTATTGAATTATCACTGTCCAGTGTGGGAAACACTGTCTCCGTGCTTTACTCTGAGGTTACGTATAGTAGTGTGTTTCATGTTTTCAGAAGAGCTTGCATTACAGTATTTTTAATGTCTGTTTTGATCTGTAATTTTGTTGTATATGTAATTTTGTTGACTGATCTCACAGATGTAATTTTTTTCTATTGAACTTTTTGTGGTTTGGAAGGCAGTGATGTGCATTGTGTTTTTGTAAATTACTATCTGTAGTATGGATTCAGTTATGGAGTTGCAACACAAAAGCTTGATTTGGCTTGATAAAATTTGTCAAGATTCCCAAGATTAATCTCAAAAAGAAATATACAAAGCATAGTATTGTTTGGAATATCATGTATTTTATTATTTTTTCTGTTTAGGAACAGCTTCTGAAGATGGTAAGAAACTACTTTGTTAGACTAGCTAATATTTTCAGCTTCATATTTTCATTGATACAAATGAAGCTTTAAAAGTAGAACTTGGTGTTTCTCGGGCTTTGTGGAAGTTCATAACAGATGTGGGCTTATGGGCTAACAGCTTATGCATCTAATACTTGGTTGTCATGTACTATTTTTGAAATTCTTTTGCTTTTATTTTTATTCTCAGTTACTCATCTGCAGTCTTAAGTACCATTGCTTAACATTTCTACTGTGAAAATACAGGGGCTTTATAATTTTGCATTTGTTTTTTAAAGCAAATCTTGTCACAGAATATTTCATCAAATGTGTTCATGCTCTGGGAAGCAGGTGCTACTATTACTCATCTCTGTGAGACTTGGAAGCTAATTTTCAATCTATTATTAGCATTTAAACCTGCTATTAGTGAATGGATGTAGAGACTCCAAATGAGTTAACAGTTAATTTAACTCACAGACACAAAGTGGTTTATTTTACATTGATAAAACTGAAACAGATTCCAGGTGGTGTTTTAATGTAGTATTGCAATAGTGGCACTCTGTATTCCTAGGTTTTGGGCCAAATTCTGAATGCAGTTACATGCCTTGCAGTCTCACAGCACTCAGTGGGAAAACATTGCCATTGCACAGGGATAACTAGTAGAGTTTGGACTGGTTAATCTAACCACTCTTGCTAAGCCTATTGTTTTCTAATAGTTTAGTGAATAACCTCCTTTATTCTGATTCTCTTCTTATAGACACTCATCTGTGGCTATTCCCTCTACTTGGATGAATAATACTAACTTGGTTGCTCTCCAAATTCTGCTGTGGAAAGCCTAAAGAGGCTAGAACCAAATAATAGTCTGTGTACCTAATTATTTTAGGTCAAATATTGACTCAGCATGTCTAGAAAATATTTTAATTGTGCTGTGTTTGAAAGTGTTGAGCTTGTTCAGCTAGATCAAGCCTGTACAGACTTTTTGGGGTTAGTTCTTGCAACTTAGAAGAATTACGGTTAGCATGAGTTTGGTTTTCATTTCATTTTTCTGTTGTTTGAGAGGTTGGCTTAGGAAATGTAGTATACAACACCACTATTTTATTTTATGAATCATCTTTCAGTTAGCTATAATTCATACAACTGGGGGGTTCCTTTCTTTTTGTAATTTGTATATGCTGGATGTTAGAAGAACATGGCTAGCAACACAGAAAGGTTTCACCAAACCCAAGAGAATTTGTTATTTGGCATTCTAGAGAAAAGTGAATCTCTTGTTTAACTTGTAGATACTTAGATTAATTTGTCTCTTTCTCGGCTTTTCTGTCTGTTGGGGAGAGTAGTGTTTCTTTATATCATGTTTTCATGAGAAGTACATAAATGTATTTAGGGTTTGCAAAATGCTCTAGAAGGTTTGGGAAATCCTGCAGAAGTCTGTATGACCAGGGCCAGGACAACAGTAGAATCTTCAGTAATAAAAAAGCTAGTATTTAGATTTCTAAAAAGAGGAGTGAAGTCAGGAAGAAAGCTCAGAATCCAATTTTGTAGTTTTATGACAGCCAGAGTAGAATTACAAGCTCAAGTAATGGTGAGAAGACTTTACCTGATACAGCAACATTAGTGTTTGCATTGCATTGTATTGAGTAAACTTCCCCTTTTTTTAATGTAATCAACATACATATGTTGGAAAGCAGAACTAGCTAGCCAGTTCAGGGTGTTGAAGGTGTAATGTGCAAATTGTTTGCTGAAACATGTAGCATCAGAGAAGTATTCTGCTTCCTCAGCTATTAAATTCCTCAAGGTGTTCAAATTTCTACTAATTATCCCAAGCGAATTGTCACCAATTGAGTTACGTTGCGCTTCTTTTATACGCAGAAACTTAAGAAAATATTAATTCTTAATAAATTAATAAAAATAAATTCTACTTATGCTCTGCTTCCTACCTGACTGTGAAAAACTGATTTAATGCCATTTTTCTTTTCCAGGTCGTATACGATCAAAGCTGTCGACCCCTTCTGTTGGTATTGGAAATTCTAAAACAGATTCCAGAGGACGGAGTAGAACCAAAGTGGTGTCACAATCTCAGCGTATGTATTTTCTGTTTATCAGTTATACCTGATAAAGAGGCCAAATGTTTAAGCATATATTCATTGACCAATGGCTACAGTCAAAGTTAATTTTAAAAATAAAGCTACATACTGAGTTGTTGTTCTGTGCCTTAGGTTCATCATCGCCAGACCAAAATGAAGGTATTTTTTTTCAGTGTTTTGGGTCAGTGGTATTTGCATGCTTTTCTGATTCATGTTGTTTTTCTCTGGACCAAATACTAGGTTAGGTCATAGTTTGCCAATTAAATTAGATAATGTAGCAGGAAGTGAAATCTATCCTTAAATTCTGTCTTCAATTATAACTTCTCAACATTCTTTTCCCCCCTTTTCTGACTTACCCAACATGAAAGGCCAGTAAACGTGGACTAGTAATAGAGAGGAGTGGGTAGGCTGAATGGTGTCCTCATTGTTACCTGCGAGACCTAATTTTTAATTTTTAAACAAGTCTTATTTTAGTCAGAAATACCCATTTTCACTTTAAGCTAGGCACTGCTGTAGCTCCTGGATATAAACTCCTTTTTTTTGTGTTACAGCTCTTGCCTCTACTTAACTCTTCTTTGAAGGAAAAATACTAACCCCTCACTTTACAATCAGATACTTAGCTTGTGTTGAGTCAGAGGGTTAAAACAAGCAATTTAATGTGTGTCAGCTAATCCACAGTAATTTTCTGTGTGTGTTTAGTAACCAAAGCAGATGCGACATTTTTGATCTAAGCAAGCCAAGCATTTGGTCATTAATTAAAAAGACCTCATTACCTCACACTCCTTGGCAATGGCTGACCTACAGCAATTCATCCACACATCTGATGTCTCCAACAGACATTTTCTGAGTAAGCTCTGTAGCATTTTCAGATTCTTATATTTGTCTAATTAAGTGAAATGCAACTAAATTAATGAAAGGAAGACAAATACATGATAAAATTAAAATTAAATTCTCACTTATATAAATTGTCAGATCTAATGTTCTAAACCAGTAAATTTTACCAGGTTTAAAATTTTCAATACAGTTATTTTGCTATCCCTAACCATATCTACTTTTTTTAATACAACCCTTTAATAATGCATTTAATGGCAGAAACATTTGTCTTTATAGCAATGACTGCATCTGTTGTAAACAGATTGATTTTAGAAATTTAAAAAGCAGGTAGTTTTTTTCCTTTTAGAGTACTTGCCATTCAGTTTTCCATAATTTCATTATTCGCAAGTACAGCTTTATAATTATATATATATATATATATATATAATTTCACAAGTACATTTGGATCAAACCTGATCCAGTGTTTGCAGGTTCTCTGAAATAAAGCTTTCAAACAATGAACAGATAAAGGTAGCATACTAAAATTCAGTAGAAGTTCCCTTAAGAGCTTTGACAGTGCTCTAATCCCAGAAGAATTTGTGAAATGAGAACCTGAAAATGAGTTGTTATTGGCTGGGACAAAAGTTCCACAAAACTTACTTTAAAGATGGCTACACTTTACCATAAGCAAAGAATATGTGAATAGTTTAAGAGGGAGGAAAGGTAAAATTCCTTGTAATCCCTTTTTCCCCTCTGTGGAAAGCTATAAGCAGTGTCTGAAACAGTTTTTTCATTAGTATTAGGAAAGTTTGGAATTAAGCTTTTTGAAAATACATTTGTACTTTGAATAGATTTAGTAAATTCTTAAAAAGTAAAGATGTTTGGTAAATGTCTGGGGGAGGGGGTAAATTTAGGGATCAATATAATACTTTAATGATTATCACTGTCATATAACATTAAATAACTGTATATTCAGAGAAGCAAACTTAAGCCTTTCCAGTTTTTTCACTAAAAATGACAGGCTTTTTTTTTTTTCATTTTTACACAGTGTTAATGTCTAAAGACATAAATTGATATTGAGATAACTAGATCTGACTACATGTGATGATGTGTGAAAATTAAATGCATGAATGCATCTTTACAGCCTTTTATTACTACTTCTGTTCAGAACCGATTGCTTCAAGTAGCTCATTAAAACCTGTCAGTGGGGGAGAACAAGAATTCTGAGATGTTTTAAGGAAGATAAACAGGGAAAATACAAATGGACAGGCGAAGGAGAATTCTCAGGCACTGTATGCCAGCTGTTTGGGTGATGCTTCTTTATGTGACTGAAAATTTTCACAGCATTGTGTGAAGCGTGATGCTTAATGTTTCCATACAGGGGGATTGTTTTAGTTCCCCAGCCTATATAATCAGAGAATAGCTTCATATTAGATTTCAGCTATTATTTTTTAAAAAACCACTGTAGCACAGACGCTTTTGTTAATTTTTGGGTTACAGCTATCTTTTGTTCAAAAATCATTTTATTGAAAGACTTGCAAATTTGAATGATTTTACAAAAATTATTTTTTTAGGGTTTTAAAAGCCCTTTACTCTTCTATTTTTAAGTGAGCATAAAGTAAATGCCTTGTTATTTTATTCTTACCTATGGGAAAAAATGGTTACATTTTTTTCCTCTTCTTTCTGGTTTGATTGTTACGTAATTCAACAGGGTCTGCTAAAATTGCATTAAAATCGACATTCAGAGAATTTCTGAATGGAAGTAAATTTGTCCTTTTATACTCAAGATTACTTTTAAAGAGAAAAATGGAAAATTCTGTGCAAGTCTTTTCAGTTGTGCCATTGTGAATTTGATTTTTTTGTTTTGGTCATCCACCGCACCTGCAGCTCAGTTCCTTTTACTGTTGTGTCTCAAAAACAAAGTTTTGATCTTGTGTGTAATTTTTGTTCAGCTGTCAAATTTCTTGAGCCTTTTTGGCAATGTAATATTCTTTTGAAGTAATATGCAGGCTACAGTTTCATGCTTAATTGAAATTTAATTCTTCAGTGTTGAGTTGTTGATTAGAAAGCTGAAGAATTGTAATTTGCTTGTGCAGCTTTGCTTCATCTGCTTTATACATAGCATCTGAATTTAATTCTTCAATTGTGGAAGCTACTTAATAGCACTGCTTTAGCATAACCCCCTTGTGGCTTTTTTTTCCTGTGTGAAATGACTAAAGCTTTCTTATTTCCATTTACCATTCATTTTTTAATCTGCTCTGCTCCCTCCCTCTTCATGGATTATAAATCCCTACCCTAATCCTGCCTTTACACTTGTTCAGGATCACAGTCTGCTAACCCCATTGGTGGTAAGAGTCTACAGAATTCGTGTACACATCATTGTTTGATCACCTGTTTGACATACCTCATTTAAGGACCCTATTCAGCAGAAATTCTGGCTGGCTTTTTCCCATATGCTGCGTATAACTTAATTCGGTGTAATCCTTATGTAGAAAGCAGGAGAGATGGGAAGGGTTTGTTGTTTTGGAATAGTGCTTTAGTAATCTTGCATCATTCAGCTCATTTAGATCTGCTGGTAGTGTTAATATTGACAAGAGTATGCCAATGCTCTTACTAGCATAATGTTTTCAGGCTATTTAGCTGCATTCAGTTAATTTATGCTGCAGTGGTATGCTTTGCAGGTCAGACTATAGAAAGATTGAATACAGCATTAGCTCAAGAGATTGCATTTCTTCTGAATATTGTAAAAAGAGTAAGTTTTTTCAGATTTCTGGCCTGTTGAAGAAAATGTACAAGTCTGCAGCACAGCAAAACTTTATACAGTACTTTTATTTTTAAAGCGATACAAAACAGGAAGAAGGCATAGTAATATCAGTTGAAATATTATTATACATTATTATATTATTGAAGTAATCTAAGTTGAAATCCCCTGATATGAAGAGACTGTCAAACCCTTAATTTTTGCACATCACAGTACTTTTATAGGTTTGCTTATTCTTCTTTTGCTATAGAAGTTCTGCTTGTTTTCTTTCAGGCTGTATAATACTTTATTTATCATTTCTGCTGAATAGGTCCATAGTTTGAAAAAGGATTTTGCTAAATAATCATTCCAAGTTTGAATTCAAACAATGAATCTGAAAGTATATGCATGGTACATTTTTTTAGGTTTCTCTCTTCCACCCAGCATATTTTGTTTGAGATTTTGTTTCTTTTCTCATATAGTCAAGCTTTAGTCAGCTTGTATCTTTTTTCCAGTGTGCTTCATAAGAAGTAACCCATGAAATTCACTTGAAAAGTTGCATGTTGTCTGTAAATCTGATAGCATCACTGTGGTCATACAGTTACCTGATTGTATTTTAACGGTTAATAAGGGGTTCAAATCCATATGAATTTTGAGTAGTAATAATTAGTCTTTGGTTGAAATACTGTTTTGCTTTTTATTTGGTCATATTTCTTGAATTCTACAGCTGGAAACAATAGATTAATGTCAGCTGGTGATATAAATCAATTACAACTAGGGAAGAATGAATTCTTTGTTAAGAACTTAAATGTTCTGTAAATAAAATACCAGAATTAAAGATTAAGTGACCAGAGTTTCTGATAGTAATACAGTACCTTGAACATCTGTAGTACATTGTAATATACAGTTTTAACTGACAGATATTTAAGACGCTTAAATATGTCTTAACCAATTTTTTAGCTTGTTTAAAATTTACTGAAGATTTTCTCTAATTTGTGGGGTAACCTCCACAGAAATGTACATGAGTACTTTAGTTGTCCTCAGTCACATTTTATTTAATGTCAGAATGGTGCTTGAAGACCCCTTGCTTTTAAAAGCAAAGGAGAAGAGTTTACATGTTAGGAAAATCACATTATTTAATTATGACATTGGTTGCATTGGATGAGCTGGGGTAATTTTGAAGTCCTAGTCTAAAATTGCTCCCTTTAGTTTATAACAGGTTTGTTTGTTTGTTTTTCTTTATTAATAGACAATGTGATTAGTGAGACCACATAGCTTAAAAAAAATTAACACAGCAGCATTCAGTTTAGGGACTGTGGAACTCTTGACAAAAAGTCCAGAAATCATAGTTGTGGTTTCTTGAGCTTATGTAGTACTGAATACCATGTCAAGTGCTTCCTTGCATTGATAATTTTAACTACCTTGTATGCAGTACTGTAAGAACTGGGACCAAGGCATTCTATTTCATGTTTTTACCTTCTAAGTTTTTCCTGATCATTTCAATCTATCACCACTTTCCTACTAACTTCAGGTATTATTTTCTTTTTAACCGTGTTTGTTTGTCAGCTGTGCTGTTGTTAATATTTTTTTATTCTACCTTCAGCTGGCAGTAGATCTGGGTCCCCCGGAAGAGTTCTGACAACAACCACACTTTCCACTATGAGCACAGGAGTTCAGAGAGTGTTGGTGAATCCTGCAGCTGCACAAAAACGGAGCAAAATCCCGCGAAGTCAGGGATGTAGTAGAGAAGCTAGTCCTTCTAGGTTGTCAGTAGGTAAGAATCACCAAATAACTCTTGGTTTCTTTATAGCCCTTCTAATTCTAAGTTCTGGATATCTACAGCTGATATTTAGTTATAGGTGGATGAAAAAAATAGAATGCATCCTAGAATGTGGCTGTTTTCTGAGACTGAGTTTTTGATGTGCAAGACAGTTTTAACCTGAAGCTGAAATTTGAGGTTTTTCTTTACAGAATGTTGTAGTTGTTCTTTTCCTCACCTCCCTTTCTTCCCTCTCTTTTTTCACTTCTCGCCCAAAATACCCACATCCTTTGAATGAAAGTGTGATACTGTTTTGAAAATACGTTCTTCATTACTTCATGTCTTCCGTGTATGTGTGCGTACATGTGTAAGTGCTGTGATGCTAAAATGAAAGTTATGTGTCTTCAGCCTCACCGTATAATTAGATTATACCTTATTGCAAACAAAAATGTTATTGAAAAACGTCTGCTGTTTTTAATGGTACTGATGCTGTTATTCCTTTGTATTTTTGATTTTTATCTTAGCTGCATAATATTTTTATTTTCCTTCTTTAGAAAGCTGTGGGGTTTTCCATTGGTGCTACTGTTGATTAACTTGATCTTGAGCACAAATTCTGAGTCATTGCTCAATGTTGCTTGTTTTTTTTCTCCATCCTTTCCATAGGGTCTTCCAACCATTCTGTAAAGAGTTAGTAAATTTCCACTTTAAGCTGTGCAAAGAAATAATTTAATTGAACTGCACATAGACTAATCCAACATAAACAGTCTGTAAAAAAGGTTATGACTTAAAATGCGACATAATCATCAATGTCTTTTCTTAGAAATGCGTCTTTGATCTTACTGCAAAACAGAATTGCATTAAAACTGCAACTTTTCTTATGTCTTCTCCCTTCTGTGCCGCTGTTTGTCTGCTCCCTGAATCATACTAGCGCGAGGCAGCCGCATTCCTCGGCCTAGTGTGAGTCAGGGCTGCAGCAGGGAGGCCAGCCGTGAAAGTAGCAGGGACACGAGCCCTGTCCGCTCTTTCCCACCCCTCGGTAAGTACTCGGAGCCCTTGTCATGCATGGCTGTCCCTGCCCTTCGTTATGTGCGCCTAACGAACCCGTGCCTCCTTCATTTAGCTTGTAGCTGGCCACCGTGTGCTCCCTTCCTCTGGCTCTCCCCGCACTTACCCCGATGGAGAATTGACCAATGTGTGAATGGGCTGCACACAGGAAAAATACAGGCTTTGCTAGGGAAGTACCAAGTCTAGAAAGGTGTGTGATACACAGCATTTAGATGCCATTTTGAAAAGGCACCCCTCTTCTGGTTTTGGACAGTTTTTTGAAATTACGTGTTTCTCTTACCACTGCAGCACTCATCGTTTGGGTACTTGACTACAGAGTCAGCTGTTGCTCAAAATTCTCTACCTAGTCAATGAATTATTTTAGTGTATAAGGAGAAAATGCACTTAGTTATGTTCCCTTAGCTATATGGTCAGCAGCTTATTGGTATGACACAAATTGCAAGGTTTTGCAAGATTACCCATCTGTTTCTGAGATACCAGTGCGGCATAAGAATATTAGTTTATAATTACCTTAACATGTTGGTTAAAGATTAGGGAAGGTTTTCGGCTCTATGTATCCTTGTCAAGGTTACTACAAAGTTAATAGTAAATTTTGCTTAAATTGCTTTTACATATTGGGTTTGTGGACTGGGATTTTCTTTTTGCTTGTTTGGTAATAGCAAACTTTGTCTGTACAACTGAATCTGAAACAGATCTCTTTTTGATGTTACCTTTGTCTGAAATAGTCTTCAGTATGTATCCTTCTTATTTGGTTTGTTCAGTGTAGCTTACAGTTAAGGACTTTATAATACTATCTGCTAAACATAGTCTGAAAATAGTAAATCTCTGTTTTCTATCTCAAATTGAGGCACCCAACTGTATTCCTAATTAGCACTGGACATATGTTAGGGCTTCCTGCCAGCCATGGTTTCATTGGGAGAGTACAGATTAATTGAATGAAAGCTGTTTCAGTAACTAGCGCTAGTTTGCCCAGATGTTGTTTAATTGGGAAATTATACTAAAAGTAGATGTTACGCAGGATCCATTAGGAAACCTGTATCTTTTTTTCTAAAACACAGCTGGAAGATTGTGTTGAAGCACACATGTACTTTCTGTTCTTTTAAAAACAAGGGTGTTTTTCAGAACTCTTTGTGCTTCTTCTTCTGCCTTACAGCTTGGTTTGAATTGTATTGCATGCAAGATCAGATTTACATTTTGTAATTAGTCAAGTGCTTGCTGCTTTAAGTCTGTATTAGGCAATAGCATGAGATGTGTTGCTGGGATAGATGCCACTGGAGGCTTTGTTCTTATTTCTGTAGTTCCATTTTACAATTCAGATATCAAAACAAGTACCCCTGTACTAGTGAAATAGGTGGAATTATCTGATAGCACAGAGAATGCTGTATGTACAAACATGTATAGGAATCCAGCATTGGTTTTAAAAAAAAACAAAAGGGGAAATTATACTGGGAATAAATAAAGATTCCTTTTGGTATGACAATTTATTTGAATGATATAAAATGTCATTCAGTGTTTTGTTGGTACAAGTGAAAGATTAAATAAGGTAAATTCAGCTTTGTTTAGCTAGAGGCAGTTTCACATGGGGATGAAGAGGGGAATGTAACTTGTATTTCCTCTCATTTCTGTCAGCACAGAAATTTTTACTTATGAACACAAATAAAATAAAATTGTTTTTATCCACCTTTAGGGTATAAAATGACTTAAATGGTACATAATTGCTTCACTCTATACGTTGGTATGAATTGTTTATGTAATCTCTCATCTCAGTATCACGTTAAAAACTCGGAGATAAGAGCCATTAAGAAGCAACTGAGTTATAATTTATATAGAAGTGTCTACTTTGGTTAAATATAGTCAATAGTAGATAGCAGGCTAGTATAATGTCCATATTTTAGCTAAGAAATAATCTTATTGTGAGTCCATTTATGTCGCTAAAGGACATGAAATGATTCACACCACCACTCTCAGTGTCAGAACAAAACCTGTCCCTTTATTCTCTGACTCCAATATTTATAGATTCTCAACAATGACCAGAGATTGGATGATTAAGTTAACGCCTTTCCAAGCACAATGGTCATGCGAAACATCCATCAAAAGATGTTTCTTAGAATGAACATGATAAACAACTTACGTTTACATGGGAAAGTAACTAAAACTGTGAAAACATTATCAGAGGGCTTAATTTTCAGGGCGATGCATTTAAAGTCTTATTTTGATTCATCCTTTAAAAAAATGCAACAGCGAAAGCAATTACTTGACAATTTCTGCAATTTGAGCGGTAGAAAGAATGTTCTTGAAAATATGTTTTGGAACGAGGTATGTTTCACACCATATATAGTCTTAAAAACTTGTCCAGCATATTTCAAATGTATGTAGGGGCAAGAGTCATTTCAAGTTTCCTGCTTATAGTTTGAATTTTTAGTTTCCAGTTGAACCTTTAATTTTTGGGGCTTATTGATGTAAATTAAGGGGATGGTTAAACACAAGTATTTATTTAAATACAAGCATTTATTTATCCCATTAATGCTTGTATTTAATAGAGCTGTCAGCTGTGATGTCTGTGTTGTGACATTGTCAGTCCTCTCTGCTTTTCCGTGCTGAGACACCCTTTCTAAAGAACCAAGTATTCCATGAAGCATTCATTCCAAGCTAAAATGCCCTTGCCAAACATCTTCATGTAGGATTAGTGAGAAATTAAGTACATCACTGTACTTTATGTAAGGAGTAGAGAACTTAATGTGGAAAGACATAGTGTTGTTTTTGGGATCTTTACAGGACTTAGGCTCATTGTGGAAGTGCACTCAGGTTAAAAGATCCTTCCCAAAATGTCGTTTGGTCCAAGTCACCACTACATGATTCAAATCAGACTCTTGAATGGTCTTTGTTAATCAGAGAAAAGGATAATTAATTTGATTTGGTTTCTGTTTATGCTATTTTATATATCTAGAAAGAGTAAAATATTTGTATTTACAGTTATTTATTTATTTATTTAATTAATTTTAAGGGTTTTGCCACTGTGGTTGGATGTTTGGGTTCAAGTTAAAATTGTTATTTATGTGGCAATAAAATTCTAACTTAAATGAACTGAAGAAAAAAGTTGAATTGTTTAAAAACGTATTTAATTTAAAAATTGTTTTTAAGAAAGAAAATACTAGCAACTGTGAGTCAATTTTTTCAGAATCACTAAAAAAACAGTGTCATAAGGAGTGGGTACTCAGTTTTATTCAGAAATCCTTAAGAATCTTCAGTTTCCAGTTTCCATAACTTTCTAGAATCTTAATGTGCTGCAGTAACTAACATGTTTCAATTTCACATTTTATTTATTTAAATAGAATAGTAGGTATGAGAATTATTAATTGCATTGGCTGGCTTATGTTAAGCTTTTAATTATAACTGGATAATTTTAACTTTTATTTACATAGTGGTGAGTTTTCACTGAGATTGAGTTGTCTGCAATGTAGGCAGGAATTCAAGTGTGTACAAATTGTCAGCTGCCAACACAGCAGGTTAGTGCAGAAGGCACATTTTGCAGATAATGTTTGATATGTGAGCTCTGGCTCTGACTTGAGCATACAGAATTTAGTTAAGTCCACAGTGCAAGACCAGTGTCAGTGCACTGATAACTCTTTAGGTATTTCTGATGATTCTGTTTGTGTGTGAGTGTGTGGATATGTGTCTGTGCACCTTTTCTTCTTTGAACTTAAACGTACTTGCTTTTACCCTGCTCTTAATCTTGTAAATTAAAAAAAAAATTATGCATGAAATGTCCAGTGTACATAAACCTATATAATCATATTTGGTATAATCAAAGAACTTCTCTGAAGATTTTTGCTTCTGTTTTCTACTCAGTTTCTTGTGCTTAAATATTCTCTTGTTCGGCTGAGCAGCTATTGCAGCACTTTGATTCCATGGTCATAGATAGGGTTTATTTAATCCTGTTATTGCAGCTTCCAGACATCACTCCAGATCCACCGGTGCCCTCTACGCTCCTGATACTTATGGGGCCACAGGTGAAGGATGAGTACCCTTTGCTGTCATCTGTGCAGTCATCCTGGGTTTTTTTTTTTCTCCACCCACTTGGTTATTCTCATAGTTCAGTTTTAGAAAGTATTATTTATATTAATTTGAGTTTTGTGGTTTTAATAATCCAGATAGATGTGTTTATGTTGCTAGATTTTGTCTCCACCCTCATACTCCAATGTTAATCCTTTTTTCCTTAACATTTTTTTATTTGCAGAAGAACTTTTTTAGTTTTCCATTTTTTTAGTATTTGTAGAGCATTCTTTATGCATGTAGCTTTCTAATCAACAGTCTCAATAGCCTTACTATCGTATTTGCTTTCTTTCTAAATGAAAACAAAAACCCAAAATGAAGAAGACACTAATTTTTAAAAAAAGCAAAACTTCTTTCAAATAAAACCATTGTTTTGTAGGAGTTTTTACATGTGATGTTGGGACAGAATGTTTGTAGATGACTGGCTTTTTACTTGAATTTTTACTTTTGTCTGTGCCACTAAAGACTTCAGAATGAAAATGGTTATTTTATCCACTACACAATTTATTAAAAATGTTAAGCAAATGCTTCTCTTCTGCTTGGGTTTTTAAAAGTGAGTGTAATATTTACATCCCAGCTTTCTATTCTGATTGAATTGTTTGTATTTATTTTTGTTGTTGTAACAGGTACTGGCTTTGGAATTAGTCAGTCGAGTAGATTGTCGTCATCAGTCAGCGCTATGCGAGTTCTGAATACAGGTTCTGACGTGGAAGAGGCAGTAGCAGATGCTTTGGTAAGAATCTCACACTTACCTTGTGTAGGTTACAGGCTCCTTAAGTTTTAGTTTCCTGTACATTAAGCATGTAGAAGAACTTGTCATTTATTGTTTTACTGGCTTCTACGGGAAAGAAAAAAAAAGAAACTATTGCTGAAGCTCTAAGCATCGGAATTTTCATTCCTTACAGAAGTTTTATCTTCTGAGAAGCGAGGGTTTTTTCATGGTTGACAGGAAACAGTGCTAAACTGTTGTGTTGGAGTGGCCCAAGGAGCCACTTGAGCAGGTAGAACTAGAAAGCAGTTTCTCACAAAACCCAGAAAAACTTATAGGTTGAAGGCTTGTTAGAGCTGGGAAGGATGACAGCTAAAGCTGCTGCATACAAGCCTGGGTTTTCTGTCTGACAGCAGGTGAGATTGATGCTGAAGAGTGAAAATGATGGCTGAGCAGCCAAGCCCCACACAGCCACTCTCTCTCTCCCCCACCACTGGTGTCAGAGAGAGAATCAGGAGAGTAAAAGCCAGAAAACTCGTGGGTTGAGAGAAGACAGTTTAATATGGAAAGCAAAACCCATGCACCCAGGAAGAGCCAAACAAGGAATTGATTCAGTGCTTCCCATGGGCAGGCATGGCTTGGGAAGACAAGCACCATCACCTGAAACATCCCCCTCTTCCTCCTTCTTCCCCCCACTTTATACACTGAGCATGATGTCAGATGGTCTGGAATGTCCCTCTGGTCAGTTTGGGTCACCTGTATTGGCTGTGTCTCCTCCCAGGCACCCCCAGCTTCCTCATCAGCACTGCAGTAGGAAAGCAGAAAAGGTCTCAGTGTGAGTGCTGCTCAGCAATAACAAAATCTCTCTATATTATCAACCATGTGTTCAGCACAAATCCAAACCACAGCCCCCACACCAGCCACTGTGAAGAAAATTAAGTATAGCCCAGCCCAAACCAGCACAGCAAGTAGTATCTCATAAATTTAGTTTTTGTCTTGCTTTGTTTTCAAAATGTTACGCTAAGTTACAACTAGTTATGCCATTTTCTTTAAGCAACACTGTTTTTTAAAAGGGTATGTTTGATTCCTCTGCCTTCCTGCCCCTGTAAGCCAAACTGAATACATTATGTATTTTGCTATTCTGGCATTTACATGAGCAAGCTGAAATCCTCAGTTAATTTGAAATACTGATGCTGTGAATAAGATACATTTTTATCAATTGTTGGAGACTATTTGCATGTCATTAAATATTTTTAAGTACCTGTTTTCTAGTTACCAGAATGCTTTAAAGAAATGGTTGTTTCTCTGGTTTAAGAAAAACTGTTATTGTGAAAGTTAGTAAAAAACTACAAATTAGACTCTAAATTACAGTCAGATATAACTTAATAGAGAGAAACAAAATTTCCAAATATGAAGAACTCTGTCATGTTCTTAGTATGACTGCTGATTTCTTGGTTAATTCTTTTTTCTTGACATTAGTTTAAAATTTGTGTGCCTTCACTGGCATAGAGATCAGAATATCTATGATATCTTGTCTAAGATGTCATGGTGAAGTCAAGTGCATTTTCCTCTTTCTGTTATCACAAACTTGCAAAGAGTTTTCAGCATAATGGTGAATGCTGGTTTTTAAACTGGAAGTCAGTCTGGATTTTGGAATAGGTAGAACAACAGTCCATGGAACATGGAAATTTTCTGGTTGTAACTGGAAAGCCTGTGCTATAGTCCTCTCCACAGAGGTGTTTCACAAAGCACCTCTTCAGTACTTCAGTACTTTTAGCAACCTCCTCGTTTTCAAATTTGCTGTGCAAATTACGTAGTAAGAATAGAAGTTGAGGAGAAAGTCATGTTTCTAATGACTGCTCTTGAGGCTTGAATGTGTCCTGCATTGTTGAAGCAATAAAGCTTCTTCAGTGAAACTGGTTTTTGCATTACCTGGATCCAAAATATCATGATGCTGCTAGAAATTTTAGAGGAAAATCAGTATGTATATTTTAACTAGAATCTGACATTACAAAGGAGGTTCAAGAGCTGCAACATTTTATTTTTGTAGTACTTGCATGCCTGGTTCCTTGCCATGCTCTAAATGGTACACATTGTCCTATACAAATGGCTTCATGTAGATGGAAATCTGGTAATAAACACTCTTATTGTTTTATCACAGAATGAAGATTCACTCATAATGGTATTTTTAAAAGGTAGAATGTAGAGTCCTGACATATGTGATATAAATATAAAAATAAAAATATTCCAGATTGTGCTACTCCTTTTTATTTGATGAAAAATACTTGACCAGTTTTAGTGGTGATGGTTTAGTGAAGCCAAAGATCTGTTTTGAATATTGCTGTATAAAACTCAGCAATAATGGAAATCTTTACATATTTTTATGTCTTTTACTTTACTACCATCCTTGGCATTTCAGATTCACTTATTGAGAAATCTTTTATTTTTTTCCTTATGGTGTTTCTTTTCCAAAACACTTAATATCTCTGATTTTTCCCTTCAGTTATTCTCTTACACATATATGTATGCTCGTTCTGTTGACAATAAGCCTTGCTTGTTACCTCTTGTATTGATTAGTTTGTGATTAGTATTGTGATATCCTTTGAATTATTCATGGTTAAAAATGAAAAGCCTGTGCAAATAGCAGTGGTAATTAAGGGGGAAACGATCACTTATACTACTGATTCTTTAAGTATTTAATGAAACTGAGTTTTTAAATGCTAACTTCAGTTCCAAAGTTTGAATGGCAAGAGCTGTTTTGCAGAGGTATGTGTTTTTTTTCATTTTAGGATAAATAACTTTTTCCCCCCTCTGACCTCTGTTATGTTGTGTTTTGTTTTGTTGGCTTCTTTTTGTTTTAAGGGATTTGGGATTTTGCGTTACATAATCAGTTTTTTTTGTAGAACATTGTCTGTAATTTTTGGAATGACAAAATTTAGGTATTAAACAAATAGTCCAAATCAAGGTTTTGTACTGAAGTAACAATTGACTGCATGTGTTAAGCTAATGTGTTCATGCTCAAGTGTCGCTGCATAAGACACAAAGATTTTGACAGAGAAGTCTTTGTGAGCAACCCACACATGATATGTAATACTTTCCTGGAAATGGAAGCTCAGCAAACTACTTCTTGACAATGTGTGATATGCTATTCAGACACAGAGAGCTAAGAACAAAATTTACAGTAAGACTATATGTTGTCCAGTGGCAGAGAGTTTATTAATCACAGTGCTGCTATGCCTTACCTTCCTGTTCTCAATTTCTGTTTCTTTTCAATAATTTACTGCTAACAGCTCTTAGGAGACATACGGACTAAGGTATAGAAACTTTTTCTTCTTCAATAGTTTAATATTTTGCTATTAACATGATTGATGCAAAGTGAGTTAAAATGTCAAAATACAATTTTGAATCAGACCTCTGATTCTTAAATTCTGTAACATATATAAAGCTATGAAGTGAAATAACTAACTTGCAACAGTCTTTTGGCACCCTATTATGCAATTTTATGGGTTCTTGAAAGAAGACCTGAAGTTAAATGTTTCATCAAATATATGTCTTCTCTGCGTTTGCTTTGGGTTTATATTTGGAATACTATGTAAGCCATGCTTCAAAATATTTTCATTAGCTTGGTTGGACCTGCTGTGTGGTCGGAGCCATTTGTCACTACGGGGAGTAGGGGTCACACCAGTTACTTAAACTGTTGGTCTTTCGACCCATTGTGGGTATGTTGTGTCACCTCTTTGAGAACCAGTGCTGATCTGGGCCGTCTCTGTACAACAGAAGAAGCCCGTGCGGAGGAGATACGAATCCTATGGGATGTACTCAGACGATGATGCCAACAGCGATGCGTCAAGTGCCTGTTCAGAAAGGTCCTATAGCTCCAGGAATGGGAGCATACCGACGTACATGAGGCAGACAGAGGACGTGGCTGAAGTCCTGAACCGCTGTGCCAGCACCAACTGGTCAGAGAGGAAAGAAGGCCTTCTAGGCCTGCAGAACTTACTAAAGAACCAGAGAACTCTAAGGTAAGGTGGCATACTAATAGGAGAAACGTCTTGTTTCATGTTGTTGGGAGGCAGGGGGAGCGGGAAGGAAGGGTGTGGCTTTGAGAGCAAGATGAGGGAAGGGACAAGGAAGCTGTTCTCACTTCTGGCTACTATTGTATATTTATATAAAGAGACATTTTTAAGTTTAAAGTCTCATTTTAGATGAAAGTCATTACATTTTTACCCATTTTTACATTACATTTGTGTCTTGAACAAAATGGTTTCCTTTACTTAATTTACTAGATTATTTGATTCAGTATTTACTCTTGATTTCACTGATTGCTATGCATTAGTGTTCTAGCAGAACTAGCAGGGGAGTTGACTAATGTATTGTTGTCTTTTTGGCAGTCGTGTTGAGTTGAAAAGATTGTGTGAGATCTTCACAAGAATGTTTGCTGATCCTCACAGTAAGGTAAGTGTAGGTTTTTCTTAATTTCAGGAAATGTCTGAAAACATAAATTAAAAGAAAGGCAGTTATGATAAATTACATCAGTGATATTTGCATATGTAAAATTTCACAAGCAAAAGTAGTTAATGGTATCAGATTTCAATTAATTTAATTTGAAGTTTTGAACAAGATAATTTGCCCCCTTTTTCTGCAGGATCATGGAAATAAAGTGAAGGTTAATGTCATATAAAGTGCATTGAAGTAGTTCAGCAGTTTGAGCTCAAAATCTGTGTTTTTAAGAAGTTGTTGTTTACAGAGGCCACTTCAACACAAGCACAGATTTTCCCTATTGGAACAAAAGGCTCTGCAGTAATTTAAGTTACAAATGAAGTTATCTGACTAAATCATACATAATCAGATAAACTATGCCAAATGTGCATTTATTTATTTTCCAGGACATTTTGTATTATCATAGCTTACGATACCTTCCATGACTTCCGTAGACAGGGCTGGAAGTTCAGACTGGTGAATAATTTTTACATCAATTTTTTAATATTCCATAAGGAGACTATACTTTAGTATAAAAGAAAATGTGATGTTTTATTCAGTTTTACTTAGGTAAAGACTCCGTATGGATGATATGACAAGGAAAATAATGCTTCTGTAAGACCATTAAAAATTTTTTAAGTGAGTTGCTTTGCATGATAGTATTTTTACAGTTTTTGTGGGAGGTGGGTTACTAGTACAGCTTGATTAAATGTCACGAGTTCTCAGCAGAAGGAATGCAGGTAAGTAAGGAGCCTAATAAATACAATATTGTAAAAAAAATACATTATATTTTAATTATAGGCTTGTTTGGTATCTTTTATGTTGAGTATAACATGTCCCACTTTGTGTCTGTACTTCGGAATTGATAAAATTATAAAGATAAATTCATAACAGGGTATTATTTCAGAAGTATTGATTTTTCCCAGAAGAATCCTGAAAAACTACTTTCATTATGCAATACATTTTACGTATTTTTAAATCTTCCTTATTGCAGCAATGGAAAATTAAATTCAGAGTGATGAGATGTCTTGAAAGGTTAACTTAGTGTCTTCTTCCTGTTGAAAGAAATGACTTAGCTGCCATCTCTGACACCATGTGTTTTGGAATAACTTGCATTGCAGACAGCAACGTGGTGTTAAAGTTGATCACATACTGCAGAAATCCAGAAGAAAAGACTAAACCAAGTAGCTAAAAAGAAGAAAACATTACATAAAAAGAAAAGTCAAAGCATAGGAAAGAATGCTAAATATGGAAATATTGCTGGAATATTTGCTTTTTAAATGAAATAATGACCAAATTGTTAATAGCAGCTTGGTTTAATTGTGCTTGTTCTGTGGTAATTAATATTGCAGCAATGCATATGTCAGAGCTACTGTGGAGATTTTTGTGTAGCATGGGAGCCAGGGAAGGATAATGAAAATGTTCCAAACTTTAGTTTTATATGTCAGAAGAGCATTTTACCTTTTAAATACGTTTGCCTTTAAAAATCCTACACTGACTACTTCTTGTTGATTGTTCTGTTTACTGGCCACTCTGATACGAAATAATTTAGCTTCAAGTTTGAAAATTTGGCCTGTGTTGTAAGCTGTGGTACATCTGTTCCAGTCACTGGAACCTTGCCTGCTTTTTGGTGTTGTAAAACTATTAGTAGTTTTCAGTATGTTATTAGGAGAATCCTTTAAGTATTATGAGTTCATGAGCTGTGATTTATTTTTTTTTTTTTATCACACACATATGTCTACATAAATCTCATCTTAGACTCTAGTCAAGTGTCTGTAGGAATTACTGTCATCACTTTTGTGGGGTTTTATAAGGTATACTTTAACATGATATCTGGATGGAGGGAGTTACTTTGAATAAGAGAGTAATAATATTTGAAGGAGAAAATGGGAGAATGGACATGCCAAGTGCTTATTTTAAAAATACATTTGGTATCCCAATAAAATTACTTAAATTTGTCATAAAAGTTTTGAAGTACCTTTTTTGTTTTATTTTGGTTTATATTCCATACAGGAACTTTGTATTGATGGCCACTAATTTGTGTGTTTTTATCTTTTTCCCTTTTTTGTTGTTTTGTTTTGTTTTGTTCTGTTTTTGTTTCGTTTTGCATGCTGTCCCCTGTGTTGGAACTCTCTTTAGAGAGTAAGTTGGTTCAATATTTGTTGGAAGCCTAACCTTACTTGCATGAATGTGCAATTAATCCCTTTTCTCTATTTTTCTTCCCCAAAGAGTTCATGCAGTGTCAAGCCTTTTGCAATCATAAAATGCTATAAACAATTAGTAAAATGTGTGGTAAAGTTTCGAGATGTGCTTTATCTACTAATTAACTGACATTGTTTGGTTATGCATTCCTGCTTTATATTGTGGTGGTTGGCACATCTGAAATAATTCACTTTAGAGAGAGATCACTTATAATTATTTCCATATCTGTTTATTTTTTTTCCACTGTCAAATTATTATGAACTTCAACCTCAGGTAGTTGATTTCAGAATTTTAGTTTGCGTCATAAAAACAGAAACTGCAATTTTTGCAGTATCCACACACATTCTTCAGCATATAGGTGGTTGAGTTCCATTTTCATTCCAAATTCATCCTTTACCTTAAATGCTCTTTCAGCCTTCTTAAATTCTTAATGCTGAGACAAAATGATATGTTTAGTATTTTTTTTTAAATGCAACAGAATTTCTCTACTTATTTTTCTCTAGACATTCTCTGTGGTAAATCTAAAACAAAACAAAGCTTGAAAACAAAGCTGAGTCCTCAGTTATGTGTATTTTTAACAGCTAAAACATCAGCACAGGATCTTCAGAGTACTTTTGCCGTAGTGAATCATAATTCACTTTATAATGATTTCAGCTTAAGCCACTTCACGTTTGAAGACTCGTACTAAGTCCACATTACTCCATCAAGTCAGAGCTTGTAGCCAGTTTGTTCGGCCTGCCGTGTTTAAATGGAAAAGCCATGTGTGTCAGTGTCTGCAAACTCAAGCCAGGTGCAGGTTTAAATTCTGCTGAGCTGTGTAGTTCAGTTTGAAGGATTTTGAGACACACCCCCACACACAATATAATCTTTTATAGCATCAGAATTTGTTTGTTTGTTTGCCTAAGTATATTTTCCTCTTACTTCAGGGCTGTGAAAGCCAAAGGCTTCGTATTACAATACAGAAAATACATATTGGTTTGGTTTTGCCTCTGTCTTATAACTGTGGCTACTGCTTGTGAATCCACAAAATTATGTATTGTTTCAGTTTAGCCTGAGACAGAAAATGCTTCCAGTCCTGTACATAAAAGTCTTGTCCCACTACTGGCAGGGTAATTTTTAAACCTCAGACTTGAATATAGATCTACATAGACAGCACAGAAGTTGGCAATTTTTTTTCCCCAATTTTTAATGTAATTTATCCCAAAAGGGAAGTTAATTAAAGTAACTATTCCTGATGGACTTTATATTGAGCAGGGGTTTCTATTGTTTTGTTTCTAACAGAGATTTTCAGTATTTAAGATATCTATTAAAAAATTTTCCCACATCTCCTGTAGATCCTGAAAGAATCATAAAATACCTGGTTAAAAGGGAACCTCAAGGATGATCTGGTCCAACCTTTCTTGATCAAATTAATCTGAATTTGTTTTTTATTTCTAGTGTAAAGTTGGAGGCACTTCTTTAAGAGATGCTTGTTTGGATTTTGTCCGCTTTATGGTGTGAATTTGCTTTCCCTGACTTGATGATAAACATGCAAAGTGATTGAATTTCCTCAGCAAAGAGGGGCGAGCAGCCAGCTCCGTCCTCCTCCCTTGAATCAGCGCTGTGGAAGCAAGTCTGCTTCCATGGCCTAGTCTGTCCAGCTGTGTGAGGTGTGATCGCATTTTTGGGGTTTTCCACTCTCACAGAAGCAGCAGAATTTGGGCTAATGACAAGTCAGGTCAGCTGCAGGAGGATGTGAGGTTCCAGCCCTTGCTCTGCACCAGCCACTTCTAGCCTTGCACCCATCTCATAAAGAGTCAGGAGGCAATATCTGCCCAACCCTCCTTGCACCACAGCACTACTTCTGTACCCAGCTCTGTGCTGGACCATGTGTTGTGAAGGACCCTTTTTCAGACCAAACACCCATTTTTCTTGTCAGAGAAACAGGAAGCTTATGGGCCACACAAGTATAGAGTGTATACATCCTGATTTCAGTCTTAGGTATGGAAAAAACTTAAAATGAGTGAGATATATTAAAAAAGCTCTTTAACCAAAGTTACTTATTTTTCACACCCTCCTTGACCCCTTCCCTCCAAAAAGCCCTTCTTCCTGGTGTGAGTCTGATAAAAAAAATACATGGTTTTGGTTCTTTTGGTTTTGTTTTGGGTTCTTTTTTTTTTTTTTCCCTAATGCAGTCTTTTCAACATTTGTTGAAAAGAAGACAATGGATATTGTGTTTTCAAAAAACCGCAAGTACTTCTGTGTTTTAAACACCTGCCAATCTGGAATCTATTGTGGCTTTTTTCCCTGCTGTGGTGAATAATTTCGTGTTGGGATACCTGCGATAGTAGAAGAAGCTTGTTCTGTTCCATGAGTATTTTAGGAATTGGCCAGCTGTCATGATTTTGCAGTATTTAGTAATGCAGATATTTACAATTAACTACAATTTTGCTAAAGAATTGTAGTAGCTTTTTTTTGTTTTAAAGAGAAAGTGTTTTTGTAGTCTTTGAGGAATATGACAAATCAACTTAATGATAAGAGCTTGAAAGGGTAAAAAATTAAGTTTTACTGGAAAAATTGAGGTTGCGCCAGCCATCACAGTAAGCATTCCTTTTCTTGACGAAACTGCATGGAATATCTAATTGTCAAACTTCTACAGAAGTCGGCTAACATTTCCAATGTACTCTTATATCAAAATCCAGTGAACAAGCAGGGCAGATTTCTTTCTTTTCCTTTCTTTTTTTTCTTTTTTTTCCCGCTTGGCTGCAAAACACTGCCTTTCTCTGCCTCTGATTCCCTTACTGCTTTCTTCGTTTGTAAGTTCGGCATACGTCAGTGTCGTTTCCTCTTTTGCCCCATCCTACCCTCTTTCCATCTTCTTCTGCTTTTTAGGTGTTCAGTATGTTTTTGGAGACACTGGTCGACTTCATCCAGGTCCATAAAGAAGATCTGCAGGACTGGCTGTTTGTACTGCTGACACAGCTGTTGAAAAAAATGGGTGCTGATTTGCTTGGGTCGGTACAAGCAAAAGTTCAGAAGGCACTTGATGTCACAAGGTAATGAGCTCTTAAAAAAGTAACATCGTAGTTCTTAGCTATTTTCAAGGTTTTTGCTGCTTTTATTTTTTTTGGTGTGCTGTTTGATTTCTGTAAAAATGCATAGCTCATGGCAGACCTTGAAACTTTACTAAACCTTGTTGCTTCACCATTTTGGTTTCATAAAATGACTCTTAATTGAAAGGGTTTGAGTCCTCAGTGCTGAAAATTTAATATGATACTACTTACCCGATTCCAGAATATGCACCTGAGCCATGTATGATGTCTCGCCTTGTGTACAGTGATGTAGAAATTGCATTTGAACTTCTTTATTTTGCAGTAATAAGTTTCACTGGAATATTCATCTCTGCATCAGCATTAACTTTCAAGGAGTTATGATAATAATGTATCTGCTTTCTGTCTTCCTTCTCCCCAGACTTCACTAATAGCCTGATTTACAATCAGAATTCTAGCATATCATTATTATATAATTCTGCATTGCTTGCATTATCTAGTCTAGTTACAATTGCTTCATAGTAAGAATTTCTTAAATCTTGTCTTTAACATTACCTTAACTAGGTAAATGTTTCTGAAAGGTCAGATACAGTGGCAACTGGTAGCAATTTGAGCTTTACTGAGAAGGGTGAAGGCTTATTTGCTGCCTCTCAACAGTTCTTAACAGAAAATTTAACGTAACATAACATTATTTTGTTTGTTTACAGGGAATCTTTTCCAAATGACCTCCAGTTCAGTATTTTAATGAGATTTACTGTTGACCAGACCCAAACACCTAGTCTGAAGGTAAGACTTTCTAGGCTTGCTTTGCAAGCAGAAATCATCATTAATGGAAATTTGGTTGTCTTAATTTTGAATTTGGATTGTTATTTTTGTTCTGTGTAAAAATAAAGAAAATAAAAAAGGTTTTCAATTAGTGGATTTTGTTTTTATAAACTTTCAGACAGTCAAGCCAGCACTGCAGGACCAACTTCGCTCTTTTTGGAGCTCAAAGGTTTTTGTCTGAATTACTGTCTTTATTCTTAACCCTATGTGAAACTCTTACAGCGTTACCAGTAATTTTTATTTGAATGCATTGTATGCTGCTACTAACCTTTGCGGGAAACTTTAAGCATGCAGATGCTCAGTTTTAAACACGACACTAGTGTGAAAATGTTTGCTGCAAGAGAGTTCTAATAAAAACACAGTACAATAAAAATGAGCAACAAAAAATATGGCTGCCTAACATCAAGCTGGTTATGCAAACTCACTCTGTCAAGTCTTTTCTAATTTTATGTTTGTGATTTCCCATACTTTTTTCCCTAGTTCATATATATATTTTTTCCTATGTTCAGCCTAACAGGCTTCGAGTTATTTAAATTATTCTAATATTAATGTGAACTTGAGTTACTATATTAAAAAATAGCTCCTTATGTGATACACTCTACTTCTCTGAAAGCAGTGTGTAGCTTTATAATTACACACATTTTTACCTAAGAATCTGTAGTTGATAGACCTACCAGAACATCTGAAAAGTAAAAATGTATTCTGTAGTTCATTTGCAGTTCCAAAGAGTGTTGATTTTAGAAACAAATGCATCAAATCCTATGATTTATAAGTGATGATAATGGGGAAATAACAAGCATATGATAACTGGCATTTTCTGCTCTATCCTGCACGAAATATTTTTACTCAGTTTGATACTGCACAAGAATATGACCTTTCTGGAGTAATGTTGAACCTAAAGTCACATGAATATGCCTTTTTTGTCTACAATACAGTAAAACTTACATTTTTAAGCTTTTGAGGACAGTTGATACGTTGACCACTGTTGCTTCGTAGAGCTGTGTTAAAAAGGGACTGCTGTCATTTATTGAAGACAGCAAATGAGGTAGTAAAAATCAGTTTGTTGTTTAAATGAATCCTTGGAACAAATTGAGATTGGTTTTGTTTTACTTGGTTTTCCTCCCCAGGAAGGTGAATTTGATGGTTGAGATGTTCCATTTTCCAAAAGGTAGAGTGTAGCTGTTAAAGGTGTATCTAGCACATTTCAAAGCTGAGAATGTAGATTTGGAGTGAGACATGGACTCCTACTAGGCTGAGTTTGGGACTAAGTTCAAAATTCTTCTCTAAATGGCCTAGAAGGAATTCAGAAATGTGAAGCGCATGATGGGAAGACATTCTGAAAATAATTTTGAGTGAGAATTTTGAAATCAAGATGCTGGTAAAAGTTACCTCCATAGAAGAACACCTGTTAGTTTGAAGCAAAATCAAGAGTATTTTGAATGAATTTTTGGGACAGTAAATTATGTAACTGTTTAAAAGAAAATAAGTTTTTTTCCAAGAAGAAAGTGGAATCTGCCCCCTACTTCGTTTTTATGTGGTAACTACAAATTCAGACCTCAGACCAGTAAAGTTATTGCCCACAGATCAGGAGTATCTATTTAATATCCACGTTATTGAGTATTTTGCCTAATTCCCATCTTCAGTGGTCCCAGATAGAATAATTGATACAATCAATTGAATAATTGGTGTGATCAAAACCCACAGAATAATAGATAATCCTACAGGACTACTCCAGTTCTTAAAGTCTTGAGCTTTTTTTCTTTGATATATTATTATCTGGTTCTAGGAATACTGAGAAACAGCATTCGCTGTGACAGGAAGAAGTCAGAGAAAGGATTTTCAGCATCCCTAAAGAAAGTCAGATAGGAGGAGAGATGGTAGATGAGAAATTTGAGCCACATAACGATTCTCTTCTACAAATTACTTCTTCTGTTCTCTGGTTTTCACATGATAGTCATAAATAATCATGATCCTTTGGGGTGAACAGTCATTATCATTCTTACACATAGAAAGACAGCTAAGTCTCAGACAATAAAACTTGAGCTTTTAGAGTGGCCATGGGGGTGGATTTGGATAGCTGGGCAGTAAGAAAACCAACCATTCTACTGGAATTCTATTGACCTAACCCATGGAGGATGCAGCTCCGTGTACTGTGCTCTATCTGTCATATTTCTGCAGTGAATTTACACTTAGGTGTGGTGAATTGCTAACACACAGTTTAGAGGCGCCAGATGTATGTGTCTGTTTTGGTCAAATATTTGGATGGGCATAGGAGTCAAATGTTCTAGGTGGGATATAATCTATTTAGCTTATTTTTGCAGGTGCAAAACATGGCAGTTTCCAAAGGATGGATATTTTCCTGAAATACACTACCAATCATCCCTTCATTTTTCCTGGTCTCATATCAAGTCAGTCTCAGTGAGGAGTTGATTTAAGTATTGTGACCAAAGTTCAAGTTTCTGAATCCTTCTTTACTTTGAAAATGCTAATTTGTTGACAAAGGTTTTTGCCACAGTTGACCAGAAGATTTATTTTTTTTTTAACCAAAGTCAGTATTGAAGTTTCTGGATTAAAAAATCCCTGAGTAGCACAAATTCACAACTATGAGAGAGCCCTCCAAAATTTACCTTTTGTGTATATTTTAGTCATCTGGTTATATAATGGCACAGGCACTCACTTCTAAGTATTTAGTAACTTAGAGACTGATGCCTGGGATGTGACAATCTGAAAGTGACAGTATTGAACAACTTCACAGAGAGTGGTTTCAACTTAACAGCAAATACTAATTGTAAGAATTCTGGAGGTACTTTCATTGCAGTCCAAAAATTTTTCTCTCTGAGAGATTAAAGGGATTGTCGAAGACTGAAATAGATTGTTGAAGCCTTTCTATTTCTAAATTTCATCTCTGTACCTAGCTGGGGGAAATATTGGCAAAGATACTTCTGAAGTAGATTTGCTGCTCTTACAGAGTTTTATTTCAGCATGGGGTTTTTAATCTGTAATAATTCCGGCTCATGGTATCTGACCACAGAAAGGTGTAGCCCTTCCAGAATTTCTTATTTCAAAAGCAATTAGTAAAAAATGGGTTTTTTTTCAAATAGCTGTAAAGTTTAACTTTGGGAATCTGTCCCACTGTGAAAAGCTCTATTAGTAAGAACTCCTTCTGTTCAGTGCTGTTCTGTCTGAGAGCCTCTGTCTTTGCAGATGTCTGTGCAAGTCCCTCAGAAAGCAATTCAAACACTAAATAATCATGCTCTCTTAGATACAGTGCTTCAGAGTCTCTTCGCTGGAAGAAATGCCTCTGGGTGTTCTAGGTGTTACAGTCCTTAACAGCAACCTTTTCAAGTCTTACATTAGATTTATTTAAATCCTCAACAGTCAAATGTAGTGGTGTCACAATGGTTTCCCTACGTAATCTAGAAGTTTCAGCTATTGCTTTGAATTGGGAGAGCCATGTGGCCTAAGGTTTTTTGCTGCAGAGATGTTCAAGGTTTGTTTTTTTTCCTAGGAAAATAGCTAGCAAATAGTATGCATTTGTGGATATTGATCTGCATAAGATGAAAGCCTTCAGCTGCTGCTTGGTATAACTTCAGAGAAGTTGAGCTTTAGCAGCTGCTTTGAAAATCAAGTATTCATTATTAATCCTCATTTGTGTGCCACTGTATCTTGAGTTTTTAATAGCTTGCAAGTTTCATGACCAAGAGAAATTTCTAAATAGCTTTGCTCAGAACTGTTGTACTACAAGCTGTGAACAACCAGAAACACACTCAGAACTCTTTTTCTCTCTGGTTATGATGGACGTAGGTCTCTTCCTCCTGGTAGGTATTTTTGGTTCGCTATAATTACTAGTGGAAATAAAAGCTGAAAAATCTGATAGATGTTCTAAATAAATGTCCACAACTTCCATTGACAGATTTGCTGACAAATTTCTGAGGCAGTAAATGAGCTGAGGAAGTAAATATTTTAGACATATACAGGCGTAATAGCCCTTTGCCCAAAACTGCAGTGGTGCAGTATTGGAGAAACTAGTGGGAGGCTGCAGTCTGGGATGTACAAAACATTCTGCAAAAGGGATTCTGCATAAGGACTAAAACAAGTTTGTGGAGGAAGAGAATGATCAGATAAATGAAGGGAGTACAGGAGGTTTTCTGTCCTCTTGGTAAATCCATGTCCCTGTCATCTAAATATATTCAAACAAAGTGTGCATCTGTGACCCATCTTAAGTATTTCCTAGAAATACCATTCCATACATTTCTAGTATTTAATGGAAAGATTCCTGTGGCTCATTTCCAGAGACTGTGACTGCTCAACCTGATGTTTTATGAAAAAACACTGAGTGTTAACTATCTGGTAGGAGCTAGTAAGACGTGATCATTGGTTCATCAGATGATGTTCATTTTCCGTTTTAGTACTTGAAAGACTTTCTTAATAATTCTGAATTAATCTTTTCTTAATTTCTTTTTTTTTAAATATAAGCTTCTGCATATGGAATGATTTATGTCTTTTATTTGCTAGCAGTGAAATGTAATCTATGTATGAGTATTTGAATTTCTGTGGAATAACCTTCTTCAAATGTTAAATCTATTTGTAAATTGTTTTATTGCAAAAAAATTATATTAATGCTCAAAATATGTATAGTTTAATTAGAAAAAAAGATCTTTATTTTAGGGAATGAACATTCTACTCTGTGAGCTCACTTCTTGCAGCACACCATTTTTATTGCCCACCTGACTCTGTTTCTCTTTGCAGGTCAAAGTTGCAATCCTAAAATATATAGAAACTCTTGCGCAGCAGATGGATCCAGGAGACTTTGTAAATTCAAGTGAAACTAGGTTAGCAGTGTCTCGAATCATCACCTGGACCACAGAACCTAAAAGCTCAGATGTTAGGAAGGTATGTTTGTTAATGTGTCCTTAGAATTGCAAAGCATTCCAGGTAATTAAGAATATTTAAGTAAAAAAATTAAATTAACATCTTGGAATTCTCCATTACGGTTGTGTTTTTATATATGTTAGTATGTTGAGATTCTGTTTCATAATTTATCATGCTTCATTACAAGTAGTATCTAGTACCATAATCTCTTTAGTGGCCATTTTCTGTACACTTTTAATATTATTTCAGAGACTACCCCCTGTGATACTAAATAGCACATTTGTAAAAGGAGTGTGTGGTAAATTTGATAGCAAACTCAGTCTAATCTCTGCTGGATTCTCTAGAGTCCTTTATTTTTAACAACAGGTAGGTAGATAGCTACCTTGATAGAACCATGGACAAAGGAAGTTAATGCATTGATAAGGTAGTATCATGGGCTTATTCCTGTAATGCTGCACTTCAGTGCAAATCTCCCTTTTCCACATAATGATGTGAAAATTAACATTTGTGAGCTGCCTAGGTACAGCAGGGGTACTAAATAACCGTAAGACTATACTGGTGCAGTCTTTGGAAAGGATTTCAATTTGTAGAAGGCAGAAATTTTTTTTAAATTTTATTTGCAGTTTCATGGAATAGTTTTGTTGTTTTGATTGTTTTGGTTACAGGTCATGCTGTAACCTAACACTATTTCCAGCATGCTAACACTACAAAAATGTCATACCTTTTATGGTTCCTCAGTGCAAGTGTCTATGACACAGAGAGCTAACTCTTCTCTCTCTTTTTCTGTCTATTTCTGCAGTTTGAAAAGCTGCAACAATTCATTTGTTGAGGTTTGTTTTGCTACTTTCATTTAAGTTTGAATCTTGGCAGCTTTGTCTTTTCTGGAAAGAGCAACTTCCTTTGTTTAGGAGGGATGTAGGAGTGAACAGTAGGAGCTATGTTACAAATTGCAATGTGAAGAAAACAAAAATAAAAACTTACTAGACTCCTTGGTATCTAGAATGCTTGTAATACATAATAAAAACCATCAGAGAGTTTTTATATTGGGAGTAATGTTTTAGTCATTCACTTCTTGTCTAACTTCATGAGTTGGAGAAAACAGTAATAGATTGCACCCAGTGGACTTTTCTTGCCTGGGTGTTATGTTCTAGTAACATATAAAAGACCATAAAACAGGAGGAGAATTGAAGCATCACTATCTTCTAAATCAGTGAAGTTTTAGTACTAAGACACGTGGCAAGCTGTCTTATCTGATGGTTCATAACTCTAATAAGCATTTTTATGTCAGTAAGTAACTGAATCATGGAAAGAATTACTAGTGAGTTTAATCATCTGGAACACTTTAATTATGTAAGTTTTCAGATTTTATTTTTTCTTTCCATAACATAGCTCTTTGAGGCAATTAACTGCAAAATCCTTTAACTCTTGAGAATAAAATTTTGCCAATAAGAAGTCAAAAGAGTTATTCTGATAGTATAAAATGCTTAATTTTCTTAACAGTCTTCTCAACCTGGTATCACAGACTTTTTATTTCGTTTAATAAGCTTTATAGCACTTAGCACTTTTCTTTAAATTAAAAGCTTTTTCTAAGTAATTTCTGTGTAAATCATGGGTTTGGTTTTGTCCTTAGCAAAAGCAGTTCCAGTGCTAAGTATTAGGAAAAATCATAGTTTATTAGTCTGAAATTGGGCACTCTTAGTGTATGTAGTTCAGTGACATGGGACTTACCTTCTTTCTAGAAGGTAAAATTCTGTTTCAGAACTTTGAGTTCTTCTAAGATTAAAATTCTTCTGGGAAGAGTTTGAATCTATTCTTAGAAATCTTTAAGAAGAGAGCAATACAAAAAAAAAATACTTCTTATCCTTGTTTCACTCTTTTAAAGATGATCTCTATGTGAGTGAATTTAAATCTCAGGAGAGACCTTATGCTGGAGAGAATAAAAACCTCCAAATATTCTAAAATGCAGGGTTTCTTTGGCAAGGAAGAAAGAGAGAAAATAGCTAGTTGCATTGAAAACCTTCTGCAAGTGAGTATCAATTTTGGTACTTTAAGCGGAGCTTCATTTTGGGCAGACTTGATGGTAGCATTTTGTATCCTGATACAATTCTGGACTGCCTATTGTGTTCTCTCAAAAGCAGCTTAAATAGACACAGTGTTAAGGAGTGGAGACTGGATAACCAGACAGTAAAATGAAAGCGGTGATTCCCAAATCTCTGCTCAGCTGCTTGATTTGTCTTGGTTTTGCTTTGTGTCAATTTTGATTAAAGGACTGACCATTAAAAATGACAAGGACAGGAGAAACACAGATTACAGAGGACGTTCAGGGTGATGACTTGAAGGGAAGGTTATCAAGGGGAGAAGGAAATAAAAGTTAAAGAAAACAACCAGTCACGAGTATGCAAAGATAATTTGTGGCAATCTGACGTGCTAGGATTTTTGTCATTAAACTTCATACTAAGATGTGTGCAGGTATGTGTGCTCATACCTTGGCTTTCCACTTCTAATTAAAAAATGCTACAGTTCATTGCTCTGGAAGCAAAAGGAGGGAAATAAATGTCTGAAAGAATTTTCTAAACTACTTGCTTGGAGTTTATTGGTGGTTAAGCAAGCTGCTTATGATTCTGTTCTAGCACAAGGCACTGGTTTTCTCCAGTGCATGGCAGACCTTGATGGTGAGCTGTATAAACTACACATAGTTGGTTAATCTTACAACCACAGTCCTTTGCTACAAAGAGGTAATTTTGGAGAACTTCCTCCAGCTCCATTTTGCACTTGTTAGTTTAGTTACTATGTTGTCAGGTCTGTTACACTATCTGGTGAATCTTTGGCAAGCTGTACAAAAATTGCTTAAGTCATTCAATCAACAATTTCTATATTAGAGGGAATCTGACTATTGTGTAATTCACAGTGTTGCTTTGTCAGTAGAGTGTAATTTTTTATTGAGGTGAAAAAGATCCCAACATAAGTGAAACATGCTGTAGGATGAAGGTGATGGTAAAGATGAATTGATTAAATTGAGAGTACGGGAGGTGACGTCCAGTAGAAACTACTCCGCAGTTTTCATCCTCAGAATATGTAGTCAGCTCAATTTCATTGCCCATTATGTTTGCCTACCTTTTAGAAAGGTTAAGGGAAGCAGAGGCAAGGTTAACTAACTAGCTTGGCTGTAGGGTAAATTGTAAGGAGTATCAAGTGCTGTGATCACAATTGTCTCATTCCAGATTAGGGTATCTTGTTTGGTTTGGTTTGTTTTAATTTCTACAGTGCTAACTGTTCCTTTACAAGTGTGTTGCGAACTAATTACCACATACAGAACTCAATAGAAAGGATCACATGCTTGCTCCTGCCCTGGTGTGTTTAGTTTCTCTCTAAATTTTTTCAACTTCCCAAATGCTTAAAGCCATTTTGCAAATTCCTTCTTTCTTTTTTTTTTTTTTTCTGAGTAAGGACATGAGGCTAGGGGGGTTGAAAAGCACATTTTTGAAAGACTGCTTGTTACAATGATAATTGTGTGCCTGAATTTATCAAAATCAGAACTTCCAGCTTACCAGTAAATATGAATTGCTTTTGTTCACATCTGTTGACATCTTTATTCAGGTTTGATCAAGACTTAAGTCACATTTTGTGATTACCACTCATTGTAGTATCTTCTGCTGATAAAATTACTTTGAAACTCTAATTAATGTCTTCAGTTTGTGTTTTCTTTTTTTAGGCTGCACAGTCAGTGCTGATTTCCCTTTTTGAACTCAACACTCCAGAGTTTACAATGCTATTGGGTGCTTTACCAAAAACATTTCAGGATGGAGCCACAAAGCTTCTCCATAATCATCTCCGGAATACAGGCAACAGTGGTCAGGTATCCACACTTCTGCTACTATGCTTTCTGAAATGACTGTGTAGAAGCCTATCTTAGTAGCATTTTGTGGGATGCCTTTTTCCTGTAGAGTTAATTTCTAAGTCTGTGTTGCTTCCAAGTGACTTGAGAAGTTTGAATGTGCTTCCTAAATGTAGTTTATTTTGTACTTTCTAATTTCAAAGTTACACGGGATTGAAGTTACTAGAAAGGGGTTAGACAATCCATGACTTTACTTGAAGCTCTTTAAATGTTTCTGAGAAACATTATTTTCTGAGAAAATAAATATAATAATTAATATAATAAGTGAAAAGGGAATCATTTAGTCATACTAGAGTATCTGTTCTCATCTCTCCTCCTCCAGGGATCAATGGGAAGTCCTTTAACAAGACCTACTCCACGCTCCCCAGCAAGCTGGTCAAGTCCTCTCACTTCCCCAACCAATACATCACAGAACACTTTGTCACCAAGGTAATGTAGGCTGGTGGTGTTACAATTCCACATCTAAGGCTTATAACACATTGTCCAAAGATGTAACCCCTACAGTGAAAGCATGGGCAAAATCTTGCACTACATGACAGATGCTTAGAAATAATCTCCCTTCTTCCATAGAATGACAGTGTACTGCTCAGCCTCCCTGAAGGGTCTGACATGCTGGCCTGATTTGGGAAAGGGCTGTACATCTTAGAATGCAAGTGGATTAGCAAGAGAATGAACCAAAGTGTGCTTCTCTAACAAGTGTTAGACTGTGTCATGTAATGTTGTGGTTTAACTCCAGCTGACAACTAAGCATCACACAGCTCCTCAATATCCCTGTGGTCAGAGATGGGGGACAATCAAAATACAGAAGAGAGAAAACTGAGATAAAGACAATTAGGTAAAGCAAAAGCTGCATGTGCAAGCAACAGACAGACAAGGAATTCACTGCTTCCAGTGGGGGGTCACTCCTATGTTAACAACCCTGCTTACAGCACAAATCCAATGCATAGCCCCCTGCCAGTGACTATGAGTAAAGCTGAGTCTATTCCAACCAAAACAAGCACACTCGGTCATGAAACCAAATTTAATATTGGAGAGACTGAAGAAGTAATAGTTTAGAAATGTTTTTTATAGTAATGATGTTGTCAACAAAGTAGACTTTGTATTTTAGCTTTTACCAGTTTCCTTGCTGTTGAGTTTTATCAGCACTCCTTTAAGACTTCCTTCAGAGTGTGGGGATGGTGTAAAAATTCTGGTTGTTTCACATTCAGCAGAATAAAACAGAGCAAAAGAAGTTTGTTTCTTCAGGCAGATGCTGTTACCTAATGTAGCTTTTCCCTTAGCTACTTCCAGTGTTTTCTGTGTCAGCAGTAGTGCACTTGCTAAGGCATACCATAATACAGTTTTGTATTGTGAAGAGACAACTTTCTTAATGTATTTCAAGAAGAGTAATAATTTTAGTAATATTTCCTCAGTCCCTGTACTTGCCTGGTAATGTGATTTAAAAATACAAAATCATTTAAAAATAAAAAATCATTAAATAAATCCATGTTAATTCCTGTCCTTCTCTGTGGCCCACAGTGCATTTGACTATGACACTGAAAACATGAATTCTGAAGACATAGTTTTCGTAGTCAGGAAGATATGAATGAGCCTGTAAAACGAGATGCTAAAAAAGATGATGGCGACTCGGTGAGTATTTAAACTCAGTTCATGTTGGTTTCAGCAAACTAAGCCAGTGTCTGAGTACAGATGGGAAAGCATCTCTTTCAGGAGTTCAGGAGGTTTATATTCTTAAATTGGACATTTCTCCTGAATTACTTAAGAGCTTTAGAAAAACATGTTCCTAGTCTTGTACCACATTTTGAAAACGTAAATGCTGTTTTTAAGTAGCACAGTCTGTTTAACATGTTAGCAGTTTAAAAACCAGCTGATCTTGCAGAACAGCTGGAGTTAAGCTTTTGAAAAGTTTGCACCCTAGTATATGGTTTTCTGCATGTTTTATTTTATTGTGTACAAAACCTGTGGGCTGTTAAGTGCTACATACAGTATTTAAGAATTCTGTTTCCATGGAACTTGGGGTTTAAGCTTTGTTGAACTTGCCACATATGAATATGTTTAAACATGGTTTTAATTATTTTGCATTGGACTTGTAAAATAAAATACAACTGTTTCTGGTTTATGATTTTTTTGGGGACAATGTATATTTTCCCCTTTTTTGTTTTTATTTTGGTTTTTTTTTAAGGAAAGCAAAATTTAGGGAACTAAGACTTCTTATTTGAGGGCTGGTTTGAAAATTCTAAGCCTTTTGAAATTTGTACATTTTTACTACATAAATGAATTAGTGATGTTGTTAGTGATGAATTAGTTAATGGAAAGGTGTAAGAGTGTATTTCACATGCTCATGTGATTCTTCCTCCTGCAGATTTGCAGTGCTTCTGGAATAGTGGACATGCGAGCAGGAAGTGGCGTGAGCGATACAGGTCGGACAGCTCTGGATAACAAAACATCATTACTCAACACAATGCCTCCCCACTCCTCACCACGTGCACGAGATTACAACCCATACAATTATTCTGATGGTATTAGTCCATTTAATAAATCTGCTTTGAAAGAAGCCATGTTTGATGATGATGCAGAGCAGTTTCCTGATGGTGAGATTCAGTTTACATTCTGTGCTAGAAAACAAATTATGAGATTTTCTATCTTGGAGTTTAATTTCTGAAGTTATTACTGGGAATATATGTATCACTTCTTTGAGAAGTTTTTGCAAATGCTATATTTTGAATTAGTTTATTTGTTAAGTCATCTCTTTGAGTTGGATTACCTGGTAATTACCTGGTAATTTGTAGAGATTTGTAATTTGTAGAGACTAAGGGTAGAAATGAAATAATAATAATAAGGGTAAATAAGGGTAATAATAATAAGGGTAAAAATGAAGGAAATGCTGTGTTGTATACTTCTGGTAGCACATCCTATATTTGTATTGTATAATATAAATTTACTTATCAGATTGTTTTATGATTGCAGTTTAAAGCGGGAGGGTGGAGAGAAGATTTACAACAAGGAAGTAAAACTGGATCAAACCAGTTTGGGAATTAGGTGAAAGATTAAGTATTTTGTTAGTAATATATTTGTATTTGAAACATGACATTGGCATTTTCTGTTGACTAAACATTCTTCTTAAATGAAACAAAACAAACCAGCTTTTTACTGGGAAGGTGGTTCATCTAGCCCATGTAAATCTAGGAACATGTGTTGATGTCTTGTAGGCTTCCAGAGCTTCTTCATGATATTTCTCTATATATCTTTGGGTAATTTTCTATATATTAACAAATTATATATGTTAAGAAGGTTCCTAAGTATCACTACTATCATTATTTTAATAAATAGTTAGTGGTTTTTATAATCTAGTATTCCTGTTGTTCAGCTGTAGATTAAGTTTTTAAGTAAACGCTTTCTTAATAGCAAGGGACAAACTAATTATTTCCCTTCTACCTGTTTTGTTTTTGTCATTCTGCAAAAGATGTGTTACAGAAACTGTTGAAAAACAGGGGTTTTTTGACATGGTGTTTTATTCACCTTTTCAGTAAGTTTGCTTTAAGTTTGCATTAAATCAAAACTAAATCCAAGTATGATGCATTTTTCTTACATATCTATGAAGAAGCATATAGTGTACCCAAATGTTTTCTTCTGAAATAAATGGAGAAGAAAGCACAGTTTTACAAATCATGTCATGTACATAATTAAATAGCTTTTCCATCTACATACAGAGGTATGTTCAAGATTCCGTATTAAGGGATCTTGTTTTACATGGGAGAAGCCTCCTTCTACCTTCTGACAACTTATTTTTGGGTATTTCATTAAATGAGATGCAGTATGTGCTGTGCCAGCATGATCCAGTTTTGTAACAACTCACAACTGGCTGGAGTGAAGCATCCCTATCTTGTATTAGTTTGTCCTGGTTGGAAGAGTGGTGCAATGCATTATTTAGGTCTGCTCTTTAATGCATCTTGATGAAGTACTTGCTTTCATTCCTGTGTTGTTCACACTTAGTATTTAGTTATATCATGTATGTTCTGTTATTTTTAGAATTTCATCTGGGATTATTTACAAAAAGTGCAAGAGAAAAGGTACACTTGGCAAAACACCTTGTGTCTCCAACTCCTCTGTTGCGAGTTACACACCTTCCCCATAAATCTGAAGGGCTCATTTGACATTAGATAACAGTTTTTGGAAACTCCAGAGAATTGCTGCTTGTTCCTGACACAAAATTCTGTTTGTACTGGATTCCCAGCTGTCCTGACATTACTGACAGAAAGATGTGGAAATACAAGGCTAGATGGGAAAACGTTAACTGCTCATGCCATCCTGTCAACAGCACTGGGGCAGGAACATATATTCTACAGATGGTTTGTCTGGCAGTTCTGGAGATGCCACAGTGTGTCTCACATGACTCACTTTTGAGTGTTTTGCCTCTTCCACTAAAAAGGTTTTCAGAGTAACAGCCTAAATCTTCCAACCATTTGCACTTCAGTTTTTTCTCCAAGGGAAATGCCCTTTATCTGAAGCATAGGGAAACCTGGCTCTTTAAGTCACTTCAAGACTCCTTAAAAGCAGTTCAGTTTCTGTTTCAAAAACAGTGTTCTACAAAGAAGCTTATTTATTTCATCTTATTTCTGTGGATTGCACTTTCCAAACATCTTCCTTTTTGCCTGCCACTTTGTATATGGGCTTAAGATTTCTGCTTCTGGGTCTTGCCTTACACTTGGCATCTTTTTTCTTTCAGGTCATTCCTTTGATTTGACATGATAATTTCTAGTTCTTACTCTGTTCTCCAGAATGTTTGTGATTGCTCGCAAAGTGATGTCATTTACAGATTTTCTGAGTTCACTCCACATTCCTTAGATAGCACTAATAAATGCATCCAACAGAGCTAGGCTCTGCACACATCCAAGCAAGGACACTACTCATATCCTCCTGGATTAATAGAAAGCCAGTTATAATCCAGTCATCCTGCAAGTGATTCATCAAGTTTTACACTTGCTTTGTTTGCTTTTTTGGCTATCATGTTTCCATAACTTTTATATTAGGATGCAGTGAGTGAAAGTAGGAAATGCTTTCCTAAATTCAGGACATACCTACATGTTCCCTTTTAACCCCTACACTGTTTATCCTGTGGTTTGAGAAGACCTGTTCTTCATCAATTATTTATCTCTCTAAGGCATATTTTAATCCATTCAAATGAAGGCATTGCATCTGCTCCTCTTCATTTGTGTTTTGTTTCCTTTCTGAAAAAGAAATTTTGGAGTAGTCTTTGAACATGACTTATTTTATGCTTCTTCATTCTTATCTGGAGAATGTTTGGAAATGAAACACTGGGTGCTAATTTTTAGAAAGGAATGGAAAAGACAAATTGAAAAGGCACATCCCTCTTGGTTATCTTCAAGTTTTTCAGTTATGTAGTCCACTACTGGAGCTTTTTTCTCCCCCCTTTTTCTGCATGGGCATGGCTATTACCTTCCCCTCTCTTTAACCCTTCCATCCATACATTTAAGACACCACAATGAAAATACTTTATTTAAGCAGATATGAGTAGCTTTCCTAATGAAGTGTCAATATGTATTCCCTGAAATAGGATTTGTTATAGCTATAATCCTTACGGTTTGGTAGAAAAGTGTAATAGTGCTGCCAATAAAAGTAATGATCTTGCTTCCATAAAAATGATTGTCCATTCTGCTCATCTGCTTTAAATAATAACTCACCTAATGCAATTTCAGTCTGACCTTTAGTCAAATCTTAATCATTCATTAATACAGAGGCAGCAGAAGTGTTTAGTTTGCTTTCAGGTGCTGGTGCTCCTGTTTATTCATGCAAAACAGAATGCAAATAGGAATGTGGGCTTCAAAACCAGAATGATTTTTACAGTAGCTGATGAGTGATGCTAAGATATTTATTTCTGTGGTATTCAGCTTTTACTGTTTTCTTTGTACAAGTGTTTTGTACAGCTTTTTTAAGTTATAGTACTGAATGTAGTAATACAAAATGTTCAGGGCTGTGGTTTCTCAGTGTAAGATACAATTAATTTATCATGGAAGCTATATTTTATGTTTTAGTTAATACATGCAGCCATTTCAGGAAAGCTGCAATGCATCTGCATTGTATGACAGAACTTCCAATTTTTTGCCTTAGGAAAAGGCATGTTTCTGTTAATTTATCCAAAAGTGTCAGTGCAAAGATGGAAGCTATATGCTTTCCTTTCTTAAAGGCTAAATGGGTCTTGATGATGGAATAAAGGTACTAAGTTGATACTCAAGTTTTCATTAAGACCATTTTTAAGTTCCTTGACTGTTTTCAGATCACTCTGTTTGAAGTCCTATTTACAAATATAGGTTGCTATAAAATACAAATATACATATATACAAATATGTGTTGCTAACATGTTTTTCCATTACCATGGAATCCTTTCTAATCAAAACTAAAGTCAAGAGCCATCTTTTAATGAATTGTTTTCAGGATCTGTGGGACTAATAGCCCTGGTTTGCCTTTAGGTCAAGAGCCATCTTTTAATGAATTGTTTTCAGGATCTGTGGGACTAATAGCCCTGGTTTGCCTTTAGTTCATCTCTTTTGTACCAAGAACCATTGTTACATTTTTTTTTTCTCTGCTTGTTTTAGCAACCTAGCTATTGTTGTGGAATCATGGCTTACAAAAATCTAAACAATTATGTAATACTTACAGAAAAGAAAATTTTTCATCTTGAATGGAAGGGTCATATGGGAAAGAAGGCCCTTCATGTACAGATCAGATTTAAAATGATGTAGAAAACTTATGGGTACTGCAAGCCTAAAAACTCCTGCAGTAAACAAGCCTGCAAGGGGGTTTTTGCTGTATCATTGTAGCGGTTTGGGGGAGATTGTAAGCTTGTTCAGCAGTGTTGGCTGCACTGAAAATGTAGTAGCCAAACTGCAATTCTTGCAGGCAAATGTGGTGAAGAAAACAAAAGCATGCTCAAAGGCAAGCAAGTCATAGTAGAAAATATTATTTACTTGTACAACAGGCACTAATATTTATTTGCAATAACTGTGTTTGTGCGTTCCATTTTTGACAGAGCCCCCCATGGACCATTCTGATCTGGTTGCAGAGCTACTAAAAGAGTTATCAAACCATAATGAAAGAGTTGAAGAAAGAAAGGCTGCCCTGTATGAGCTCATGAAGTTAACTCAGGAAGAGTCTTTTGGTGTTTGGGATGAGCACTTCAAAACAATACTACTTCTGCTGCTTGAAACACTTGGAGATAAAGAGGTAAATTCAGAAACATACAGTTAAGAATGCTGACAAAGTACATGGCTTACTTTTAGTACCTTTGACATTTGTACAAGTTGTAGAAAGAGCACAAATTCCAGTTACTGATGGAAAAACAAAAAAAAAAGAAGGAAATAAAATGCCATGAAGTCCATTTGCTGTGATAGTGAAAAGGGCATCAGTGATACTTAGCTTCTCCAGGCTTCCTGTTTGTGGATTCTGACACAACAGATTGAATGAAACATTTTTGCACTGAGATTCAAAGTTTATCTGTTTCTAGGCCCTAAATGAATCTAGAATATCAATACATCATGTGTGACAAAGCATTTAAAAATTTATTTCTAAAATACAGTAATTAATCATTGTGAAGAAACTGAGTTCTATGTAATAGTTCTTTGAAAGGCCATGTTTCTGAAGTTACTGAGGATCAAAAATCAAACTTGCATTAGATTTTTAAAATAATTTTAAAAAGAAGTAGTAAAATAATGTATTTGCATAATGGTTTTATCAGTCCTTGTGTTTGCAACTTAACTTCTGGATAACATAGATAAGTCAAATTATGTATACACATAACTGTATAAGCAGTGTGTTTATGATATGTCACCTGCATTTTCTGCAAAAAGAGTGATTGAAGAGATTTTTTTTTTCCCTACTTTTATTTGTTAACACTAGATTCAGACTGTGTATTTGTGCAAAGCATAATCTGATATTTTTCCATTATTAAAAACTTCTCTGTCAGCTGAACAAATGTTAAAAGCATATGTCTGTTTAAAGATGCATAACTCATTTATTTTAATATTGAATCTTTAGCATGCAATTAGAGCTTTGGCACTGAAAGTTCTGAGAGAAATTCTAAGAAACCAGCCAGCAAGGTTTAAGAATTATGCAGAGCTCACAATCATGAAGACATTAGAAGCGCATAAAGATCCTCATAAGGAGGTCAGTAATCAGTTATTTTATTTGTTTAAGGTTATGACAAATCATTACAAAATGAAAGAGATGTCCATAAAATGTGAAATAACCAGTTCTTACTGAGGAAGTAATTTTTTTAATAAGCACATGTTAAATAACAGTGATGTTATTAGTTAACATGCATATGCAAGAAAAAAAACCTCTGCAGTTCTAAAAGCTCTGGAATGAGTAATATCATCCCTAATAGCAATTGCCTTGGGTACCATCCCACAGGACAGTGTAACTAGCAGTGTGTCACCATGGCTCTTCAAGGAATAACTGAAAGGTGCTTTTCCCTTGTTTGACATCTTAAGCCAAATAGAAGTGTCCTAGAGATCTAAAACAAGTTTGGGGTTTCACTGAGTTTTATGTTTGAGAGATGGGACTAAACAAGACCAGGAATTGTCAGCCCTTTCCATTATGCTCCATTTTGAGGGCATGGCTTTGAACTGTGTTAAGGGAAAATGCATGGGAATATGTCAGTGGGGCGGTGCTTGTGCCAGGAATAGTGAGGGGATTCAGGAGAAGGTATGTAAATGTAAGCTTGCTCAGAGTTATTTGTGATGCCTGCATGCACAATAAAGGACAATGCATGTAAATATAGGAAACAGATGCAGCAACAAATCCATTATTCAACTTCTGACATCAGTGTCACTGATTCTGTGGAAAGAATCCATGTTTATTTCTAAATGAGTGCATCTTCCCCATGCAAGGGCACTTTGTGGAATTTACTGTGGAGTTTCAGGTTTTTAAGTTGACTTTGATTCCTCCTATCATGTGACTTTATCACTCATTTGGTGCTTGTTTCTCTTTTCCCCTGTGCTCTCTAGTGTTGTTTCATACACTGTGTCGATTGCAGTGTCATTTCCCCATCGTCCCTTCTCTGTTCCTCTGGTTTTTTCTTTCTTATGGTTTTGTGTGTTAGGAATGAGAGAGTAAAGGAGACAAGGATGGAGAGAAAGTTCTGGAGGATTTTGTACATCACTAGTGTACAACCACTCATTCTGTAAAGTGATTTCTCTTTTTAGATGTCAGATGCCACCACAGCACTAATGTGAAGATTAGATGTTGATTTTCTCTGTAATGCCCTTGTTGTGTTTTGAGCTTCTCTACCCGTTGATGTCCTACCTAATTACTCTTGTTCTCTACATTCTGCATATTCTTCAGGCTTAAAGTACTCTTTTCTCATAGCTTCTTTCAGAATTACAGGGGAAGAAAAACAGCTAGATTGGCTACAGTTAGCAATCTAGGCATGCTATTAAACACGCTTTTAAAATGAATGTGAAAATATTTTTTGTCAGTGAACACTGACCTAACAAGCAATAATAATGACAGCACAAGAAATTACAGGTTTACAGAGGTGGTGATATTTCAATATGTAGATGGAGGGTATGCAGAATACAGAAATTTCAGATCATATTAAATGATAGGAAACTTACATGCTCAAGACCATTACTACCAGAAAATGGACCACACAGTAAGAGTCTCATATAAATCACTTTTCTGTGTCTTTTTCTTTCAATAGGTGGTGAGATCTGCTGAAGAAGCTGCTTCCATGCTGGCCACTTCCATTAGCCCAGATCAGTGCATCAAAGTTCTCTGTCCAATTATCCAAACTGCAGATTACCCCATTAATCTGGCTGCAATCAAAATGCAGACAAAAGTTATAGAAAGAGTATCTAAAGAAACCCTTACTCAGCTTTTACCAGAGATTGTGCCAGGTCTAATACAGGTAAGGAGAGAAGAGAGAAGAAGATGGGGGGAGGGGGGCGGAAAGACCAAACGGACTAACAAAAAGAAACTATACATACAAATTGCAAAGACTTTTTAAAAATAGTACCACTTTGTTCTCATGAAGTATTTCACTTGTCTGATAGTTGGTGGCTGCCTTGACCCAAAATACCTTGGATAGTGGGAACAATCTCTTTGATTAGCAGGGAGCTAAATTGTAACTCAGGAAATCTCACTAGAATATAAAGTCCAGGTTATGGGTAGGATTGGCAGTAACTTTTAGTTCTAAGGTAATTTCTTTGTTGTTTGTACTTTTTCCAAGTTACATAATTGGGTGTGAAGCAGTCCATATTTTATTTGCATATAATTGTAGAGCTTTGTCAGCTGGGGCTTTTGGGAGGCAAGAGGAAAGAAGCAGTTTTATAAAGTTCAGTAAAATTAGAAGGATATCAGGATATCCAAGTTTTCTCTTCCTTTGTCTTTAAAACTGATTTTTTTTTACCACCTTATCATACATACCAAGAGACAAAATACATTAATTTCCTTCATGGATCATGACTCCTTGGAGTTGGCAGCTGCATTCTGCAGATTTCTGTCTTTATTGGGTGTGATTCAGTCATACATCTGCAGAAAAACAGAGGCAGAGAAGGGCCCTCTGAGGAGGGTATGAGTGAGACAGCCAGACATGGGGTGATAAAAAAATGGTAGAAGAAAAATCATTGAAAAATGATTTGGGGGTTAACAAAAGAGTCTTTAGCTGTTGAGAGGATTCTTTTATTCACAGTCAGGAAGCTCTAAGTTGTGAGCGGTCTTTTGCTTTAAGTAAATACCTGTATAACCTAGAAAAGTTCTCTTACGTACTCACCTATTGCATGGCAGCAGCTCTGTTTTCAGTGTAGCTTATGAACAGGACTGTGTGGCTTTTAAATTCAGCCTGAAAAATGGTGATTAATATGCAGCCTGCTTTTTAACTGCATGTTCTGTATTTGTGTGGCTTTTTTTTTTTGTTGGAATGCTTCATTGGGCTGCATTGGCATTAATTTACCATATGTATTTATTACAGTAAATAAATAAATAGTTTTCTGGGTCTTTTAATCATTAACTGATAAGGTATTAATGTTAATTTTATTGCTTTCTAGGGTTATGATAATTCAGAGAGCAGCGTTCGTAAGGCATGTGTTTTCTGCCTTGTAGCCATTCATGCAGTAATTGGTGATGAACTAAAACCACATCTCAGTCAACTCACTGGCAGTAAAGTAAGTACAAGATACCACTTAAACAAATCTTGGCTCATAATTGCATCTATGCATTTGCATTTTGGTTTGCCTCTGCCAGAAAGTTTCAATGAAGTATATACTTGAATCAGTTGTATTAATACGACTTCACTGTAAAATACTCAAAACTGAAATTCCACAGATTTTTATGCAAGTGTACAAACTTCAGCATTAAGATAATTACTAAACTGTGTTTCTTACTGCTTTTTAATGCATTCAGTTCTTTGTATGCTGGTTGTAGTGATAATGGCTGTATTCAGCAGGCTTTTCCTATCAGTGTTTCTTGTCTTTGTTTTCATGCAAGTTCTGACTGAAAAACAAGGAACATAGTAGGTCCATGTTACATACAGCAGTTTCATTTATTCTTCCTCCTTGTTACTTTGCTTTCACAGGTCTTTTCAGTACCTCTAATTTGAAATAATAAGAACTAGTCTGTGGTCCCTTTTGTCTCAAGATATTTATGGTTTTATTGGCCTCTTTTTCATGCAGTTTTTTAGTATGAACAGCTATACGTTAATTATGAATCTCTTTGTCCTTGGCAGTCAAGTAGGACAAATAATTTTGTGTGTCTGTGAATAAGACAGTTCTATCTTTCAGACGGTCTCTGTGATCGTATTTAAAATGACTCCAGACAATATTGGAAGCTTTAGTAAATACCAGCATTAGCAACTCTGACTAGAAGCTTGAACCTCAGATTAACTTAGAAGAAAAAGAAACCCAAACCACTATGATATTTAGAAACACATTTTAACTGGAGGAAAATATTCCATCTTTCTTAATCTACCTAGTTTACATCATTTTCTTCTTCACATCCCTAAAGAAGCTTGAGCAGTTTCCTAGTGACAAATTCTACTTGTGTTTGATGTTTACATTGGCATGTATGTTCCTTTTGAATAACTGTGTAAAGTAAAATTTTGTTTTTAGGGAAAAGGGATTAATGTCTGTTTTCTTGTACCATTCCTATAGTCAGTCTGTACTGTTTGCAAATACTAAACAGAGTTACTTTCTGCCTTAAATTTGCAGATGAAATTATTGAACCTTTACATCAAACGTGCACAAACAGGCTCTGGAGCAGGGGATACAGCAGCAGATATGTCTGGACAAAGCTAATGAAGCTGACAAGAGTTAACCAGGTCTCCTAAAGCAAGGGCAAGGCCCTCTTCAGTGAAAGGAAAATCCTTACATGCAACTTCTGGAACTTTATTCTTGTTTTGGGGTTTTTTTTCCCCTTTCTTTTGTTTTGTTTTTATTGTTTGGGGTTTTGTTGGTTTTTTTTTTCTTTAACCAATGGCTGTCCTCAGCCTGCATGAGACTGATGCAATAGAATTATTCCAAATCTAAGGAAAAGCAGTATTAACATCAGTTGATCAAAGCAGAATAAAATTTCAAAATAATCTTACCCATCAGTTACCCCGTTCATAATCCTCTGTGTCTTCCCATTAACTTCTGCCAGTGTTACTGTATTAAAAAAAGATTTTTTTAACGCTAATTAAAAAGGTATGCTTTAAGCTTCAGAAGTTAAAATATAAATTCTGTTGCTTTTCTTCAGCTGCAGATAACATTACTTTTTTATTGCTGTTTAGTTTGAGTATCATGTCCTTCGCTAGAAACAAGAAGTGATGTGAAACAAGGCTGAACTAGTCTGAACTGCAGTGAGACTCGTTCACTGTGTTGGTGGTTCATCATCTTATTTACAGCTTGTTTGGGATATTCTGGAGATTGAGAAATATGCCTATAAAAAGAAAGCTGGATTGATCCAGCTCTGTCACAGTGATATTGTTCATTGGTTGTATGTTTGTTGCATAAATAAGAATTTAGTGTGCGCAGCAGAGGACTGGTACAACCAGTACCTCTTAATGTGGGAGACAGCCCTGCCAGGGCAGCACTGCCGACCTGGTGATAGTGTGGCAGCCTGCTGGTGAGCAGCAGAGTTCATGGTCACTTGATGGACGTGAACCATCCTTCTCACCTTTCGTTCTTCAAGCAGGATGCTTCAGAATGGAGTGCTCTGCCCAAGCATGCTCAGTATGTATTTATCTTTATCACTAGAATGTTTCCTCTCAACCTAATTGCTGGAACAAGTAGTCTTGTATTGTAACTCACATGGGATCTTACGACAACAGTGCAGAAAACTATTTATCCCTTACCTTCCTAAAAGCACCAAGATTTTCTGCATTGAATTTAAATGGGGGGAGGGGGGAATAGTCACAAATGCTATGGATCTCGCCACCTTTTAATTTAAAGAAAAATATATATTTTGGATGAGTAGGAAAAGCTGCACCAAATTATTTGCATGGTTTTCTTGAATAGCATCCTCAAGACCCATCTGGATTAAGGTGTGGAAATGTTTCAAGGGTTTGTTTTTCCATTTTTGAAAAAGAGTTAGTATATTGTGAATAATGGTTCTTTGTATTTATGAAGTTGATAATGGAAAGAGAACAAAGATAAGTAAATGTGTCCCTAAATGTTGTCTTTTACTTTTTTTCCTTTTTTTTTTTCCTTTTTTTTTTTTTTTTTTAATATAAGCAGCAAGCTAATTAAGTGAGAAATGGGACGAAACAGTACCCTTCCCAGGAAGAGTGGAACTTTTTTTTTACTTTTTTTTTCTCTTTGACTGTGATGTTGTCTAGTTGTAGGAAGTGTATCCTGATAAGAGAGAAAATAGTGGTGCCAAGGATGATGATCTATGCTAGGCTAAAATTCTCTCTACCTCTTCAGGGTGACTAATTTTTGACTGAGCTGCTGCATATAGCACCCAGTAGAAGAACTATCTACAGAAAAATCTTTATTTTTTTTTTCCAAATTATCACTTAATGTGTATTCAAAACTCTATTCTTCAACATTGCAGCCAAATATCATAAGAAACTATTGACACACTTTACCTGCTAGGAACCTTGAAAAACAAAACTGAATAAAAAATTAAGTCAGATGCTTGTAGTTAACATGAAAGGTTGTTTTTACTTTAGTTTGAAGTGAATGCGATAGAAAGAGCTAAGATGTGGTTATTAAAGAAGCAATGCCATTGCAGAGATTCATTTGGAGGAAAAGTTGTAGAAATTTATGTAAAGACTTAAACCCAAGACTGTCATAACTCGTCGCTAGCCCTTTTTAGCAGCTACATCAAGAAAATAGTATCTCAACCTTCTTTTCTTTGTTACGTGTAACATCCTTTGTTGTTTTCTACTGTTTAATTACATTGTGTATTTATAGTTCTATGCTTACCATTGTGCATATACTGGCAATAAAATGTACATAACATTACTTAAAAGATTAGCAATGTATACATTCTGGTTTTTCTGTTTTATTTGATCACATGCTATAAGAAAAATTATAAATGTGATTCATACAGCATTGATTTAAAAAAAATTATCTTAATATTCATGTTTTTTGTGTCCAAATGATGTTTCTTTATATAGTCTTGTTACTAAATCTGACTTGGCATTTGAGAACATGCTTTGAATATAGGTATATTAGACAAATTTTTAAAAAATTGCATAGAATCTTATGAACATGGTTTCCTTCATCTAGACAGATTTTTTGTTTATTATTTCTTTTATTTGTACATTACACCTCATTTACATTTTACTTTTTTAATATATAAAAATATTTTTCAGTCTACAGTCTTGTAGTTTTTACATTTTAATTATACAGATGGTCACTTAAAAAAATTTGCACAAATTATAAGCTTAATAGACCTGTATGTTATTCCTGCATTTTGTATAGGTAATATTTATTTTCAGAGAATCATTGCAAGGTGACTGTTACTTGTCATCTTTTTGAAGATGCTATTTCATACTGAAAATATAAGTTATTGAAACATACAGTATATATTATGGATGAAACCTAGTTTTTTTACATGTAAACAGAAGATATGTTTTTTATCCCCGATATGACTGAAAAATTTTGCTCCAGGTAGGGGGGAGGAAAATATTTACCCCAAGTTTGTTCATCAGTTTTGCTTCTAAGCCATCTTTAAATGTTTTAAGCGAAGATATCCCATGTATTAAGAATCTCAGTGCAATGTATTTAAATGAATATTTTACTTATGATATGACTAGTTCTGTTTCCAGCAGAGATGGGGTTGCTATCTTTGTAAACAGATAGAATTTATTTATATTACATGAAGCCATCAGAATGTAAGAATTTGGGAAGAAAATTATTTCCACAGCAGCCAGTTTATCAGATTCATTGCATTGCTTTTTGCCTTCATTTCCTATATTACAAGTAGATATTAGCTCAGTTAAATTCAAGCAGTGATTAGTCATGCCTTATGTTCCTGCTGGAGGTGGTTTCTCTAATGGATTACCATAAAGATCTGGGAAAACATAGGACAGTTATAAGTTGCTGTTCTTTCAGACAGGGTTTCTACATGTTCCTTCTAATATCCTGTGAAGATAGGTCATTGCAGTCATTGGAATACTGAAATGTAATTCTTAAAGGTTTGGGCTCTAAAAAAGAGGAAGGAGAAGTAAAGCTACATGCAGAATCAGGATGGGAAATGGGTATCGTGGATGTCTCAGACTTGGATGTCATTTGCTTTAAATAATTTTGAGTAACACATTATGTTCAGATGAAGTCTTAGCAAGGAAGTTGGGATAATAAATGTAAATTGAAAGGAGAGCTGATCATGTAAATTTTCCTGAGTTGGCTTGCTTGTTTGTTTTTGAAGATAAAGGTTGGAACAGATTGAGTTGTGTTTATTATTTGCGGTCTGAGTCACAGAGCAAAAAGAACAAACATCTGGATCCTGAAACATTTACATATTCTTAATGGTTTCTATGCGTGTTTAAACATTTAAGTCACAAACATAGCCATGAAAAAAGTCTACTGAGAATGCAGGCCTAAGCTGCTCACAGTTTGAATTTTCAGCAAAGGAATTCAAATGCTGGATGTGATATTGTCCCTTTGAAAACAACTGAAAAAGAAAAAAAAAATTGAGAAATCTGTTGTATTACGGTACAGTTACTCCCTGTGGGAGGCAAGTGAGAATGGTTCCACTGGCTGTGGTAACTTGCACTGTGTTGGGTTGGGACTTCACAAACAGAGAACACAATAAACACAAATACAATGGGGATGCATAAACAGTTCGGAACTGGAGGATTACCTGGAGAACAAAGTGTTGTTTTCTCCCAATTAAAATAGTAAACTGATGAGTTTTGCAACTGCAGTCTGCTTCCAGGTAAGATGAACATCAATATTCATATTGAGCTAACTTAAGAAAATGTCATCAAATTCTCCCCCACGTGAGTTTTCCAACTCATTAAAAGTACGTACTTTAAAGCTTTGCTTCATAATCCATATTTGTTTTTTTCTTTTTTGTTAAAACACAGAAGGTTTTCAGAAATATGTGAAGTTTGAAGAACTAATTGTGCTGTACTGGCAAAAAAATCAAACTTTTGCAACTTTGATTCTTACTTACTCTTCTTCTATATCTTGTTGATGTTTCTATGTTTTAGTGTACTTTAAGAACTCAGAGTTTCCAAGCTGTGCAGCTTGGATTATCCCAGTTAAAGAAGTTTCTTCGTTTGCTGATGGGATTTTAGAATAATAAGTGTCTTTACTAAGAACTTTGCAAGCAGTTTTGAATACTGTATGATTTCTGTTGAATATAAAATTCTGTAACTTTTGATGTATTTTAGATAGATACAAGTGATTCTAGTGGAAATAATTTGAGGGAGTAAGATTGGAAAAAATTATGGGTAGTGAAACAAGGAAAATATGTCTGTCTAAGGAATACCTGTAGCAGGTAAAAACAAATATGTAGATTTAAGTTATGCAGTAGACAGATAGTCTCAAAAGACAGCTGGACTGGTTTAGGTGTTCTCTCACCAACTATTCATATCTGCCTGTGGCAGAGCCAAGAGAGTACCTTTGTGGGAGCTTCTCTATGATTTTTCTGGAATAATCTCAGTCTGGTCCTCCAGCAACATCAAGGGCTCACAAACCTGTGCCAGAGAATGAACAAATGACTGTCCTGGGCTGAGAGGGTCTACCTGTATGGGGGGCAGTGGTGGGGGAGGAAATACAAGAAAACCCACCTGTTTCTTAGCACAGTGTGTTTAGCCTGAGCAGGTATAGCTCATGTCAAAATACCAGGGAAGATGAGGAAACCGTTGATTTCAGCTTGGATAAACAGCTCAAGTGCAAGCCTGTAGGTGAATGGATGTGTGTTCCATTTAAAATTGCAGATCAGCGTGTTTTAAAATGCTTAATTAATTTATATGCTAGTTGAAATAATACATGTGAAATGTACCTAACGGTGTACAACTACAAAAAGCCTCTAATCTGGAAAAATAGTTATTTCGGGCCTGTTACTTTGTGTCCTTTCAGCACAACTTAAACTGATACAGATAAAACATTTTTACCCTATAGTGAATATGTTAACAGATGGTTGTATTT